TTTCAATCGAATCGGGAAGTGTGGTCTACTGTTGCCCACGTGACTACTAACCATCTCGTCTGGTCGTACTCCTTCCACTAATTCAGCAGGTCCCCATTGACCGTTCGCGAGCTGCGTGCTACAGACATTATGGAAGCATTTCAGCTTCTTTCTCGGGGAGGTGCACGATTTAACAAACAAAGATTCAAGTCTGACGTCCAAATATTCAATGTAAGAAAATGTATCCGTCAGCTGTTTTGGTGGCTCATGTCTTTTCAGAAGGCTGCACCACCAAAAGATGTCAAAGGAAAGGGAGTCCTGACGCAGTTACCTCCAGAGCTAGACTTTTTTAAATATGCCAAAGCTCCTTCCGGGAAGCGGAAAGCTGAGGACAAAGAGAGCGATGTTCATGCTGAAGGCAAGCAAGAAAAGGTGGAACGCAAGCGTCGGAAGATAGAGGAGGAATCAGCGGACTCCGACGATAATCACATTGGCATAGAGGAAGAGGCACCGACCATGCAGAAACACCGCGTGACTGCCAAAGGATCAGATGTGCCTAAACCCATTGCGTCCTTCGAGGACCTGCGCGAACGATATAACGTCCCTCCACGTCTACTATCAAATCTTTCTGAAAACAGTTACAAACATCCTACTGGAATCCAGGCTCACGGGATTCCAATTCTGCTCGAGGTGAGCCCGCCAAACGTTCTTTTTTATGGTTCTGAGGATGCTGATGACTCTTACTGCAGCACCGTGACCTCGCTGCCATCTCGCCGACTGGTACAGGTAAAACTCTAGCATATCTGACGCCCATCATATCTGCCCTGGGTTCCCCGATATCTAGTATGAAGAACGACGGAGGTCGTGGAGTTAGAGCTGTGATTCTTGCACCGACTCGGGAATTAGCACACCAGATACACAATGAGTGCCTGAAACTCGCCGCTGGGCGTAAATGGCGCACGGTCCTGTTTAGCAAAGCTACGGCTAGTACCCTGAGCGACAAGAACGTGAGAGACAAAGTAGGTACGCTACATCCACACGTCACACTCTCTATCCAGACTAATACTACATAGACATCATCATCAGCACGCCCCTTCGGCTAGTGGTCTCCATTCAGGAAGGAAACCTGGAATTGAATAAGTACGTCATGACCCGCTTGTCTTAGTGTGCACGTGGCTGACTCTTATCATTAGCGTGCAGCATCTTGTATTAGATGAAGCCGACCGAATGCTTGACCCTGAATTCTTGTCTCAAGTTCAAGAAGTTGTCGCAGCATGTACTCATCCGAACATACAAAAAGCGGTCTTTTCCGCTACTTTACCTGCTGGCTCAGAGAAACTTGCGATGGGTATCCTCAGGAACCCTATACGAATTATTGTTGGTCTTAAGTACTGACCGATCACCCAATATTTGTGTACATCCGCTGACCTTCTTCTTTAGAGACACACCGCTCCCTTTGATCGCACAAACTCTTACATATGTGGCCGATGATGCCTCTAAGCTCCCAAGTCTGTTAACGTATCTTTCTCAACCATACAATCCACCTCTCCTCGTCTTCACATCTACTCAACCAAGAACAACGTCGCTTGCAGAAGAGTTGATAATGAACGGCATTCCGAATGTGGATTGTCTTCACGCCGGGATGACAAAAAAACAGCGTGATGACGCGGTGAGCAGGATGCGCCGTGGCGAAAGCTGGGTCATGGTTACCACAGAAGTCATGGCTCGTGGCATGGACTTCAAAGGCATCCGGGAGGTGATCAATTACGATTTCCCAACCAGTGTCCAGAGTTACGTCCATCGAATAGGTACGCCCCCCTTTTGGGATCAACTTGTCTCGGAACTTAATAGTCGCAGGCCGTACAGGTCGCGCCGGGCGGGAAGGGAAAGCCGTGACTTATTTCACAGATGAAGATGGACCCTTCTTGAAAGCGTACGTGACACTCGGCCATCTTGACCGACATCTAACTGATGTCCCCTTACCTAGCATTGCCAACGTGCTGTTACAATCCGGCTCTTCGGTCCCAGAATGGATTCTTAAACTTCCGAAACCGTCAAAAATGAAGCGAAGACAGATGGGCAAGGTGAAGCGAGCAAATACCGTGAATGCGGCCCGCAAAATAGGTCGCAATGATGCAATTAAGAAGAGGTTGGTTCATTCAAAGCTTCGGGCACTACTTCTAGCTCATGTCGATGTAAAGGGACATGATTGCGGGCTCGAAGAGGCGGAAGGAGAAAGAGCTTCGTGAGACCGATAAAAACAACGGCGTCGGGGAAGGGGATAGATCAGCTAAATGATTCTTCTTTCGAAAATTTAAAAAGCACGTCGTTTTACTGTCAGTGTCAGAAGGATTGATGAAAATGTCATGACGGCATTAGCAGCACTGGTGTTCTGAGATTCTTTGAGCTCTTGGAAGCTTGAAAATGCTATGTATTTCCTTGCAAGGAACTATCCTGGTCAAGATAACGACTTATTCGATCGGAACGTACATAATGATAATCGATGGTGAGCTGACGAAGTCTGATGATGAGCAAATCCTTTAATGTGATAATGTGAAAGGTGAAGGGAGGGCGAGGGTGATGATGATGTGAAGATGTGACAAAGATGCGATCTATCATGGATTTCGGAGCCCTGAAGGTTTGCTTCCGAAGCGCATTGTGTCAAGCTAAAACGCCGTGCCGCTGGGATGAAGTCTCTCCACGAGGCTATTCCTGGGAATCTTTGTATAGGTGAGTCCTACTCAAATCAGGCTACAAAGTGAGTTCAAGCCTCAAGGACGCCGTTTTCGGCTGACTTTGGGGCAGGAATTCCAGTGCCGCACGTTTTGCGGCACGTTTCACTGGTAGGTCGTAGACTTCGATACTGCCCTGCATTGAAGCCTATTGATTCTTGAAGCTTATTCGTATCTTGATTCCGCTCCTTTCACAGAACAACGGTCGCAAGGCGGAAATCTAGTAGACTCGACGGATATGGAAGGGCTCAAGGGCCTTGTGACCTCAAGGCAGCCTCGAGGTGACGGGGCAGAGTGGTCGTACTAGCTCTCCCCCATACAAGGCTTTTGGCCTTAACACTCTTAAGCGCTCCATTATGTGGGCGAACCGGGATCCTTAATTGACTGTGATCTTCCTCTACGCCTCTGCGCCTCTCCCTCAGCTTCATCTCTGATACTACACATATCTTCAAAAAGCCTTGTTATCATGCCCAACGTTCGCAACGTCGTTCGTCGATCTCGTCGATTATCACATCAGTCACCGATTGCAGGTACGACGATCATTTCCTTGTTTGACCTTATGGGTCCACACGTTTTCGAATGATCGCTAATTTTTTCCGCAGCTGAAGATTATGTTTATGAAGAGTCATACTTCGCTCGTTCGGGCTATTCAAGCATTAGGACCGTTGGGATCCCTTCCACTCATACCACTCCCCCATCTCCTGTTGGAACTACGATCTCTTCTCCCCATATCTCTTCGTCGCTATCCCCTGTCCTATCCCACTTGTTATCGTTCCCCAATCGTTCATCGCACTCCCGTAAAAAAGAAGAAGGTCACATACCCCGCCCTCCCAACGCCTTCATCGTCTTCCGCTCTTGCCTCTGGAGTAATGAGGATTTCAGAAGCCTAGAATCTGATCATCGCAACGTTTCACGCATAGCCGGCGAGAGATGGCGTAACTTGTCTGACGACGAGAAGGAACCTTTTGTGCAGATGGCGAAAGAAGCCAAGGCACTGCACGCGAAGATGTATCCCAACTACAAATACTCTCCCTCTCATCGCACCAATGCGGGACCGAAGCGAAAAGGGAGACGCAACAGCGATGAGGAGAGAAACAAGTGCGACATGATCGCTACCCTCCTGCAGAAAGGAGTTGAGGGCTCTGCATTGGCGCACGCGATGGCACACGTCAAATCTGAAGATGAGAACGAGATCGTACCGACACCTATCATCCCTCCAAAGGCACCCATAGTCGCCTCCAGAGCTCTGCCTCCTGTCCAATTGCGCGAACATCGCAGAAAGAAGGTCGCTGCTCGTCCTCGAGCCTCGCGCTCAACCATCACTCAACGTCACACCGCAGGCCCTGACCTTGCCGCCACGAGTGCTTGTTCGTTCCCACTTAGTTCTGCTTCCCGGGAGGCCGCACTTACTCCGGAGCAATTCAGCGGTACCCCTGAACTGCTGTATCCAAGCGATATGTTGAATGAATTCGTTCCTACTGATGAAATACCGCCTCTAAGTCTCGATGCTCTATATGATATGAAGGTATGCTATTTCCCACATACTGTCGATTTAACGTCACTCATCATTGGTCGGGAAGGTTGCAGAACAGGAAACATCTGACATCTTCTACTCAGGCACCAAGCCAGCTGCAGGGCTTCCCTACTTCGGTGCTGAGCTCGATGTCACGCCTTTCAATGACTACTTCCTTGACGCCGGCCTGCAGCTGCCCCCGACTCCTCCCCTTGTCGAAAACAACGACTCTCCCCTGTCGAGTGACTACGCGTCTCCTCGTTTGACACCTCATCGGTCTCCAATTGTCTTCACCAACCCTTGGACTGCTTTCCTCACGCCTTGTTCGCCGGATAACGAGCTCGATGAGTTCTTCGTCCCGTCGATGGACTCCATGCCATCTTTTTTTCCGTCCCCACACAGCCCTTCCAAGGACGACGACATAGCCAGCTTTACGCCTGAAAAATTTGACCCCATCACCAAAGACATGCAACCCGAAGTCAACCTCGATGACTGGATCCACTTCAACTAAAAACAGCAGATATACTCGCTCTATGCTCATACACTTGCATCATTCAAGGAATATACCACTCACGCTCACGTCATTGACGATCTCTTTTCCACTTGACCCCCATCTCACATTTCTGCATACCCAGCAAGCACGGATTTCCAACACAACCCTTGTCGTGTACCATGTAAATTCCTCTGTATTCTTAGAAAACCCTGTTGTTACAACTAGCACACGCATGCCATTAGATGTCCATATATACCATCCGATTAGTACATATTTGAATCGTTCATCGTTTGACTTTCTTTGAAGACGCCACTTTGCCTGGATTCACCCTCTTGTTGCCCATGGTTGCAGCCTTTAGCTCTTCCAGGTCAATGCGTCCTGCACTTTTGTCTTCCTTCAACCAGGCAAGGCAGTCATCTTGAGTACCTTCGGGATGTCCGAGCTGCCATTCAAGCACCCTGTTGACCATTGCTTTCATCCACGGACCAGGCTTTTCATCCATGGCGTGGGCAATTGCTTGGCCCTGTGATAATTCAACCCCAAGCCAGGCGTAGTAAAATCAAAAATTCTCACATCTAGTATCGGCTTAGCATCCACTGCTTTGTCCAACCCAAGCTCTTCGACCCGGCGCGTCAATGCGTTGTAACGCTGGACGCATTCTGCTGCTTCTTCACGGCCAGACGCTGAGACAAGCTCGCACACGAGAGAGAACACAAGGGAGCTAGCCCACTGAGAACCTGTGTTTATATTATGGACACTTTCTTGCCGTAGCAAAAGGCCTGGACGAGAGACAGACACCCATCATCAATCAAATAGTTTGCACGATTATCAAGCATACCTATAGCAACTCTTTCCGAAGGCAATTTTAGCCTATCCTGTCCCAGTGAAACACCATTCAAGAGGTCGGAAGCGGAATACAGGGCAGGTATGCCATCCAGATAGTGATTTTGTCTACCCAGTTTTAGCCCATCTTGGATTGCGCACTTGACGAGAGTTTGTTCCTTGCCTTTTGAATCCAGGTACGTGATTCCATGATACGAATAGAGACTGGCTGCAAGAAACAGGCGTGCCTTGCACCCGGGCTCTTGCAGAACGTAGGACCGGAGAGTGGGATGCAAAGACATCGAATCCTCGCTGGTGGATGAAAGGAGGCCATTCAAAATAGTAGCGGCACGCAAAGAAAGCTCGTGTGGTTTCGGAGTAGACGAGGCAATGTTGGTGATTTGTGGTGGGACGTGGTATATACTTTTGTAGAGTTTGAGATCGTTAATAATACGTATCGAGCGCAGAGGATCCTGCCCTGAACGTTACGAGAAATCTGTCAGAGATTCTTTCTCGTGGGATGGTTCACACTGACCTTTCATCATTTTATCGATTTCCTCTCCGACTCGTTCTCGACTGATTTTTTGCGCAAGGCTATCTTGAATTATCTCAAGCTGGGCAGCTTGCTGCAGATCAGACTCTATTTCAAAACCGAAACGGCTTGCGAAGCGAACGCATCGTATCACGCGCAGGGGATCGTCCAGGAAAGTTTCACGTGGCGGCAATGGGGTCCGAATGATACCATTTTGTAGATCATCGAGACCCTATCCATATTGTGTCAGTACCATCAATGGCAGTGATATCTGTTTCATGAATTCACCTTTTCAGTGAAATCCTCAACTGAACGAGTATGGACGTTATAGAACAGTGCGTTAATAGTGAGGTCCCTCCGTAGAGCATCCTCCAGTGGTGTACCAAATTTCTGTATACGATCTGGTCAAGTACTGCATGTCTTCGAAGAGACCTTGGACACACAACTTCAGTCGGTATGCGACTGTCTTCTGCATACTCCTCGCTTCTCAGATTTACGAAATCGAGGTCTATGCCAAGGAGTGTAGTCCGCGCAGTCTCCAAGTGTTTGGATTGATCAGGATTGCTCTCAATTTTCGAGATTTTGTGCACATGAAGATCTTTCTGCTCAGACAGAAATGCTACGAAACCCTCAGCAAAAGTCACACCCATCATATCGGCGAGACAGATGTCCATATCATTGCTCTGCATGCCCAGTAACTGTAACACATGAATGAAACAACATGAGAGCTTGCCCCAAATGATGACAGAGGCCAGATTGACCTTGTCCCTAACCCACCCCCCGTTGATCCTGCACGCCGTTATGATATTCTTGTCCTCCTGGAGATGGCGCGTAAATTCGTCAAGTAAAGTACACAGATGATCCTCGGCGTCGGTCAGTTGGATCACTTTCCTGACAGCAGGCGCGATACGAGTTGTCATGTTTCTGCAGTGGATATGGCCCAATAGACGTCGCGAATGGTGATGTCTGGTGAAAGAAGCAAGTTCTAGGATATTACAAGTGACTCGACGAAGAAGCATGCAGCTGAGTCTTGCCATCGATTGCCCGTTTCAACCGGAACAAGCGACACAGTTGAAGCGGAGATGAAACACTTTCCGTATGGGGCGGCGCTGGCATCCGGTGCCGGCGCCCCACCGACCATCGTCCATTTCGAGCCCTGTGCAGCACGACAACCTCCTCCTCATTCCTCGCATATAACTTTCTTGCTAATTTTCATAAATGGGTCGTGTATTGCTCAAGGTCCGTTTTCTATACTACTTGTGCAAATCTGTCTTATTACAGTATAGCTGACTCGTCTGGTTAGGTTATTATCTTAGGCGACAGTGGGTACGTGCTGCAAAGTGTTTGGCCTTGACCCATGGAATTGAAACTTATCACTCTGTCTTCGTTTGTGTAGTGTTGGCAAGACGTCACTCATGAACCAATATGTGAACAAGCGGTTCAGCAACCAGTACAAGGCCACCATTGGTGCCGACTTGTAAGTGCCCTTTCACATTCGTGGCTCCGTTCGAGGCTGAGACTCACCCATTCTCAGCCTTACAAAGGAAGTTATGGTGGATGACCGTCTTGTCACAATGCAGGTACGTATTATAGTAGGGTAAGTGCGTTATCCCCACTGATTAGGATACTCAGCTCTGGGATACCGCCGGACAGGAGCGCTTCCAATCTCTAGGTGTGGCCTACTACCGCGGTGCAGACTGCTGTGTGCTTGTGTATGACGTGAACAGCGCTAAGTCGTTCGAGACGCTCGACAGCTGGCGTGATGAGTTCCTTATCCAGGCGAGCCCGCACGACCCGGAGAATTTCCCCTTCGTCGTGTTGGGGAATAAGATCGATGTGGAGGAGAACAAGCGACAGGTCCGTCGAAGGCAGCGTCATAACATATGTTTCCTTCGCTCACGTGCTTTGTAGGTAACGCAGAAGCGTGCTATGACGTGGTGTCAATCAAAGGGCAATATCCCTTACTTCGAGACTTCTGCTAAGGAGGCTATCAATGTGGAGCAGGCATTCCAGACCGTCTCGAAGAATGCGCTACAACAAGAAGCAGAAGAACAACTGTACGTTTGTTCCATCATGCTTGGCCATTTTGCTCACAACAAGTGATAGGTATGTTGATTACCCGGATCCAATTCAGATTGATCGGGAGAGCACACAAAACTATGGGTGCAACTGTTAATGGATAATCTATGGACTGGGATTTTCTTCTGTTGGTCATGCTGTCTACGGCATATTGCCGTTTGTTACCCCTTGCAATTACGTCGAGTAATATTTGTTCTCTATCGCGTACATCATGAACGCTGTTGATCTCATCTATTCACGACGCAGGATATGGCGGATGTAATGGGCACAAGTAAGATAAAACAAAAGTGAAGATGCGGCACTGAAGGCTGGTACAAGTACAAGACACACTCCTTCCGCAATTCCTTCCTTCCAAAAACTTATAGCTTGAACTCCGACCTCTGATACTTGACCTTGGCTGAGGCAGCATTGTCAACATACCAGTACACCTGGCCTGGGTGCGATGGTCTGACGCGGGAAGCAGGCAGGCCTGCTTCTGGGTTATCAATTATAGTGCTGAGAACATCAGCTTTTCCCTCGCCCGCTGCAACGAACACGACGCGTAGAGCATGGTTAAGAACCGGGAATGTCAAGGTGATGCGTTTTGGTGGAGGCTTCGGTGAGTCCTCAATGTACGCGACCCACCTGTCCTCTTCCGTCAACAGAGGATGTTCCGGGAAGAGGGAGCAGGTGTGTCCGTCTGGACCGATGCCGAGAAGGATGAGGTCGAAGACGGGAAAACGAGCAGAGTCTTTTTGAGCGAACTCGTTAATAAGCGCTTTCTCGTACGCGTCTGCGAGCTCTTCGAGATCGTCCAAGAGAGCGACATCCAGGTGGTGAATGTTTTTGGGTGGTATGGGTACTTTGCTGAATAGCTCTTTCCGGCAAAGATTGTAGTTGGAGTCTTCGTGATCCAGCGGAACGCAGCGCTCATCGGCGAAGAAGACCTGCCTGTAATATTTTTGAGAGGGATGTTTATTGCGATCTTTGAATCGATCCTCACCATTTGTCCCATTTCACAGCTGGGTTATCAATGAGCTTATTCAGCTGCTTTGGCAGGGAGCCGCCTGAGAGAGCAACAGTGAACCTGCCCTTCTTATCGATAGCTTCTTTCTGTGCTTTAGCGATGAAGGCTGCGAGCTTCTCGCTCAACTCATTCGGGGACTCAAACGAATAGAGAACGGAAGGGCTTGGAGGTTGGTGAATGGAAGACATGATTAGGGGGACAAACGCTGGGAATACGCTAATTTCTTGCTTGACCATATATACCGTACCGTGTGACGTCAATAAATATAGACAAATACGCGATGTGGTTCCGAATCGGAAACTCAGGAAAATCGCACAGAAATTGTGACATCGCTATAGAGTCATCGCCGACGTTGAAGTTCGACTTAGCCTTGGCGCCCAGTCCTGAATTCCGTCGTCATCTAACCTTTCTGCTACATCCACGTCGGCATTCCCAGCACTCCCTTCAACTCCCATCTCTGGGAAAATGGACAATAATAACGCGTCCAGGAGAAAGACTGCAAGGTGTGCATTACACCCAGCGTCGCCAAGGGGCCTGATCATTTCCTCAACAGTGCGTTCTGGCGATGATCCAAGAAGGACAGGAGCCAGAAATGCTGGCACCTGTTCGCGCAGTCGCCGAACCAACTGCTGGTGAATAATAATTTGTTCTTCTGGAGTGGGATCGATCGGAGGCGGGCCTGGGTATCCATTTGGGAATAATGTATGCTTGGACAGTCGTAGTACAAATAATATAGAAGACGCGCACAGAATCCGGGTATACAGTAAGTGGGTTAAGAGTCTCGAGGAACAAGAATTAGAAAGCGCGTCGTTAGAGATAGTGACTGCCTTACCGGTCCATGAGCGGAGTCGTGGCCGCACAGATCATACACAACATATGCATTACTGCGCTTGTAGCAAAGCGCTCGTACATTGTAAACAGCTCGGATATCATCGTGAGAGGCTCTCGAGCATAATGGCTGGATGAACGTTGAGGGTTGGGTTGAGGAATATCTGCATGCAGGGAAAGAGTAGACGATGCTGCTGAAGCATATGATGACAAAGGTGGTGAGATTGATCTTGCATTTCTCATAGGCGATATAGGAGCTGGACGAGCTTTCCTCCATGGCTCACTTGCTCGTCGTTGATTAACTGTTGGGCGCGTGGAGTGATTAACGAGTTTGATGGTACTGAGCGTCTGCTTATATGTTTGAACAAGGGCTAGGCCCATCCCAGAGATGGACTGCACAGCAGAGAGGAAGAACACAAGGAGGGAATGAAAAGAAAAATGAGCGTGATGAGTATGTGACAGGTGGCGATACGTTTGGAGGCTATAATGACATTTGTTCAGAGTTTGATACAACAACATATGAAGTGGCAAACCTTGTCAGACTCTGTGTCAAGTGATGGACCGAGTAAGTCCAAAATTGTTCTCTGAATAAACCAAGGCTGGGAGACTCGCGGAATAACATCCTTGACTAGTACCTTGAGGATGATTTCACGCACAATGTATCGCTCAGCCTCTGGAGTATAATTTTGAGGAGGTAGACATGATCTAAGTACATGGTCGAATGCCTGGCGAAAGTATTCTTCGTCAATTTTACCCTCGGGAGAAATTGCCACGTGAGGCTGCAGTTGGTGAAAGAGGTGTGGAAGTGGTATAGCACCACCCATTGCATACGAGGTAGACGCCTTGGACGCGGCATGTCGGTAGTCACGATAGTGTTGCGTTATTAGAGCGGGGGCGACTGAAAACATGAATAATGAAAAGTCAGTGGATAGCAGGCGTGTTTCGAGTGTCCGAAGGACGGTCGTGAGGACAATCGTAATTTCTGGAAGTAATTCCTTGTCATAGCGAGTAATCTTGGTCCACCAAGTATTGACGAAGGCGCGCAAAGCAAGCGCAAGAAAATCATAGGCCTCCGCGTTAAGTTCGGGTGAGCATGTTGGTGAAGCAAACAACGGCGGCAAGTCTGAGCCTGGTGACAAGTGCGGAAAGAGCAGGCGCTTAGCAAGTGTTGCTGGCTGCTGCTGCTTTGCGGTGTTGGACGTGATACTATTAGAATGCGTTGAACGAGGGCCGAGGTTGCCCGCCATAAGTTACACAGTGCGCAGCCGAAATTCTTAGTAAATCCATCATATTACGTAAATGTCACCGCACCAATGAATTTCCCGTCACCCATGGACTCTGGGATGCACGTTCACAAGTATCTCCTTCACCATTACCAACATCAAACAGGTAGACGGTTCAGTCCACTCGTGCTGTCCGTTTGACCTAGCATCCATCCGTGCGTTATAGATTCATATCCTTCTACAGTTCCTGTGAAGCTGACATACATATATGACAGCAGTGCCATCTACTAGTACCCACCCTGTCATTCGTTTATAATCCGACGCTCTTTACTGCCTTTCAACATGGAACAGAAACATGACTATAATTCAGCACGTAGCACCTTCGCCATGAAGATATTTAGCGGCACCGATGTCAACCACACAACTACCGTCATTATCGTGGTTCTTTGTGTCGTCGCGGGCATGTTGATCTTGTTCGGTCTTTTTCGGTTCCTACGCCATCGATTGGCTCGACGTTCCACTCCCCTACCACCCGTGCAACCTATTGCTCACCATCGTAAGCAGCGGCTGACAGAGTTTGCTGAACGGCCCACCATGTCGTCAACATACTCCCTGTCCTCACGCCTTTCCCCGTCAATTGAATTATCGCCCGCCGCGAGCGATCCTTCCTTTCTCACTTCAAAGTATGATCAGACTTTTCACTCGCAATCAAGTCTGTATCTCGCGGATAAAAGCGACGGCCAAGCCGCGCCGCCATCTCTAGCGAATGACGAAGAAGTTCTACCCATGCCAAATCCCGCATTTAATCATGCCAGGCGTTTCAGTAGCAGCTCTTCGGGTTCTGTTTCTTCCACTCCTCCCTCAGCTTCTGTTTCATCACATTCGCCATCGCAGGCTACGCTTATTCATTCGTATTCTCGTCATACTGGTCCTGCGTTAGCAGCGTCCAGCACCTCCATCCGAAGCAGGAGTTCTGGAAGGAGCACTATCGTAGGCGCTCCGCATGGACCCCTTAGCCAGGTCAGACTCGTACTACCTGCCCCTCTCGCTCCTTCTCTACATCCATATCTTTCTGGTTCAGACGCAAGTAGATTAGGCGTCAATGCTGAGACGTCAATGCGCTCAACCATGGTCGATATGTGGGCACCCCCGCTTCACAGGTCGGTGAGCTCTGAACATATCCGTAAGTTGTCACTATGCTTGTTTTCCGCGAATTTTCGAGCTTATTGTGTGGTCAGGATCAAATTCGCCCGCAATCCCTGCTACGTACCGGCACGGATCTTCACTCTCTAGACCTCGACAGAGGACCTCCTCCTGCCATACACCGTCTCTGTCATCTTATTCCTCTGCGGTTGGATCCCCTCCTGTTCCCCCAATCCCTTCCCAGTATAGGCAACTGAATGGCGCATCTGACGCCATTCAACATCAGCAAGACCTTCCTACGAGAAGCCCCATACTTGCACAATCCTCCTCCGAAGGGTCATATACCACACAGCACGAGGACCAAGAAGAGAATCGTCACGAGTCCTCGACCACATCCCGACCGAGTAATAGATGACAGGTTGCTGTGGTATTTTGACTCTGTGATGACCCTTGATGAGTTGATCGATATCATTATTTTTTTTTATGTGTACGTGTTTCCGCACGCCAAGTCATCGCACTGCCAGATTTCTTTGACATGTACTTTTAAGTCACACGAGGAACTTGTCAGCACTTCAGGAACTTTTTTACCCATTGTCAAATTGAGGGCCGAAATGCAGGCTTGATGGTTGGCCAGACTTGAAGGCACTGGCCTCGTTTCTTCTCCCGCATTTTGATCAGAATCGACATGCATGAGTTATGATGGACCACAGTGCTTCAAGATATTGAGCGCAGCGACTCTAATCATTGCACGAGATTGTGCATAGTTTGACGCCTTCTGTAATTCATCTGTGACAGTGTCCCATGAGTTTCTTGCGTTTTGGGCAGTCGATATTGATATATTAGACTAGGTGGTGGGCTCTGCAGTGGCACTGCAGCTAAGCGTGAGGGGACGATCTAGCAGTGCGGCGTTTAACCGTTTGACATATTTCCTCCGTTCCCACTTCGAGGCTCATATCTGCACGTTCGTCTCACGATGCGGCGGTTTGTTGCACTTTTCTGGGAGTGCGTCGAAGATGACATTTACGAACGAAAACTCTAATTACTTTCTTATTGACGAGGAATCTTGCCAGGGCCTAAGTCAGGGTCATCCACTATTCGCATTCAGGGTCGATTCACGTCATGTTCCTGGGCAGACACAGGAGTTCATCGCAGGTAGCCATGATGAGCTGGGCCTTAACTCAGAGGCTCGTCACTTTGCAAATGTATATAATACCCCTAGATGCCTTGACAGTGCCCATTCCTTTTTACAGCAATCTGGTGAGAGGTTTTCTATACAATATTGGCGCTACTAATGGGTGTAGTCCTGGTTTCTAGTACGCCAAAGACATTCATACGCTTTACATCTACCTTGCGTAGCTGATAAAGAATGCGTTTTCATGTATTAAAGTCTCAGGAATGTAAGTGCAATGAGTTGCCGATGGTTCTCTGGTTTCTCACCCTTCCTTCTGCCTGCTAGTATTTCTCCTACTATTGGTGCATTCTGTCAAAAAAGTCGCTGGACTCGACTGGACGCAGTGTTTGACCAACATCAAGGCAAATGCAAATGCCACCCAGAATTTAGCTGGTCTCCTCAGTAGTAATGGAGATCCTGTGTCGAATGTCGCTGATGCGACAACGATAAGCTATTCTCTGTGTACCTCCTCCTGCGAGACCTTGAAGGGATGGGACTCCGGAAATTTTGATGTGTCTATATTTGCACAAGATTTCAGCTCATGGCTACTGCCATACCTTGCGCTGATCTCGCAGCTCCCCTTTGGGGCACAGTATAGACTTGATAATCTCATGGCTGCTGTATTAACCGTCGGGTCACCGGCACTAGCTGGTTACTCTCTGTTCATCACCCTCCTCAATTCTCGATGGATCAACCGCCAATTTAGTCGATCCGTGGACTATTCAAATTCACGATCAGCAGTCTCTATTATCAGTAGCCTCCAGCAATCACCACTAAGGCTGCATTCCGATCGCGTATGCTTCGCATCTCTCGTTGTGCTTCCGGAAAACGACTTGTGGTGGCAATATTTCTCTGAATTGGTGGACTACACTCATACGTGGTCCATTGCATCCGCGACCTCCATCGCCTGGGTTGTCGTTGCCTATATTCTGTCTATCGTCAACTCACCATCAGATTCTTATGTAAACGCTCAGGCCGGCGCCGAATCCACCAGTTCAATGTGGTTGTGGTTGATTCCAATAGTCATGGGATGGTTGCAACTCTCCCCAAAATGCGATTTCAACCGCTTACAAGCAGCTTATGATCGTGCCGACCGACACGCGCGCGCAGCAATGACAGATAGACCTATTGCAACACCACCTGCATTCGCCCAAAGAGCTTTAACAATAACTGCTCAGGAAGAGGATGTCATGTCTCCAGACGAACTCCTCACCCCTCCGGTGTTCAATTACTCGCGTTCGCTGGAATGGGCTCATACAGCAGAAAATATTTTCCTGATGTACAAAGCGGCATCAGAGAAGGCCCGAGACCGTATTCCTGTCATCGTCAAGAGTGGGTGGGTCGAGTCCGACGATCTTAAATCTATCCACCCCCGCAATCGATGCGGGTCCCCTCAGGAAATTGCCGCGTACTGCGTGCAACCCGGCCATGCCCGGCGAAGCCACTGGGCACCTGGCATGTTTACAAGAATGGTTATCGCGTCATGTGCTTCGCTTGCATTACAATGTGGAACAATCGGAGGAGCCCTTATGACCGAGTGGTTTATTCCAACAATAGTAGGTTTCTCCTGATATATATGATATCATGTCGGCTAACTTCAGACAGGGCTTGGGGTGTCGATCCCTGAGTTACCTCATTTACGGAGCCCTATCGACTGTCATTTGGATGATGCTCCTGACATCCAGTATTCTCGCTCACTATTCCGCAGCCTATTCTTATCGAGCATCGCTGTCTGCGCGTGTTGCTCTGACGTTCTCACACTTGCTGCGAAGGATGGGAAAACTGTTGGCCATTGCAAATTCCCTCTGGGTGGTCTTGACGTGTATTTTCGCGTATTCCAACTTCTACGATACATGCTTCTGCAATTCCAATATCATCAGGGGAAATATCGATGCATACGTTACTATCATCGAAACTACAGCACAGGCTACACTGGCCAAGGCGGCCCGGATCGGCGGCCTCGTCCTAGCGTGTACTTCGGCGTCGACTTTCGTCGCCCTAGTAAGTCTTTTATTGGATACTCTTTCGACATAACCATGGTTGCGAGCAAACATATTGTGCAGTTATTTTGACTACTACTTCAAAAGATATCCAGCTCACTTGATTGATATTCAAATTGCATCCGAGTCACGCACAACTTATTTACAACTTATTACAATTGTTAATTTTATACTTAAATGACTTAGCTGGTTGCTTAGAAGCGCGTGACAAATTCAGGTGCCGGGGTCAACTGGGCAAAGCCCAGAAAAGTGATATTGATCCTGGCACTTCCTTCTGATCTGTATTTTCCCCCACACCCTACCTTGAGTCGGGGCATGCTTTCCAAGTCGTTGTTTTGCCTCACAACATTCCGTCACATATGACGACTTTGTGGTACAGAAACTTGAACGTACAATTGCGTGCTTTTAATTCGACTTACATAACACACAACTGCTACTTCCCCATGAAAGGGGTCAAGGTGCTGTGAAATAGATGGTCCTTGTTTGCAAGAGTGTACAACCGTTCAAGCGCAGCTTTCGGCTCAGGATTAGCGACCATCTGCCAATGAGCCTAGCAATCAACAATATCAGTACGTCCAAAATTGCGATAATCTCCACACATACCTCAACGCTCTGCCAACCACCAACGACAATAATCACATTCTCATTTTCAAGCGTAGGACCAAACACGAGCATGTTCTCAGTCGAGTCCGAGATCTTGGTAAGGATGTCAAACACCTCTGTGCGATGATCGGGATTCTCGATGGCGAGGAGGAGAACTTCCGTGACAGGCTGCTGGAATGCGATGGTATGGGCATTGAAAATCACATGGTACATCTTCGACCAGCCTCCATATGCGGGATTCAAAACTTCAAGCAGAGTCGCGTACGAGGGGGACTCTAGCATCGCCTGATGGTGCGCTAAGCTATCCCAGTCTGAAGCCAGGGAGTTATTACCTGCCTCTTTGGAGACTAGCGAAATATGTGTCACATACTCATGAAGACATAACCTCGAGCAGGATTCTCGATCTGCGTTCCAACGTAGGCAGGCCTGTTGCAATAATGATATGATTAGGGAGCCCTGTATCGCCGGTAATATATACTAGCAGGGGAACGATACGCACATCTGGATACCATCAGACTTTGAAACTATCTCGAATGCAGGACTCAAAATTGAGCAGTCATTACGAACCTCCTCTGTAGTGTCGAAAATGACGAGTTCAGTCGTTGGAATAGACATAAGCGTGGGTGAAGCTTTGGGAATGGATGCTCTTTACAACAGCACCTACGTATAATATCATGGTCGACGAATTCCACCACCCGGTACTTTCGTTCCGGCCGGAGATCCGCTCGGCTGAAATGTGAATCACACAAACCTGGCACCAGTCTGAAAAGCCGAAACATTTGTTGGTTCAATAGCATTATGCAAAGCTTCAAAACTTCATTGACTAGATGGATTCCTGTGTGCGATCACCGGCATCCGTGACAAACGAACTTGAAGGGTTGACCCACAAGAGCGCTGTTAGTAAATATATCAATAAGGATGTCCGCAGGTGACGAACTAAGACCCGTAAGGGTAGCCGACAACCTTGGGGTCAGGCTCTGAGAATCGAATGTTGAGATTGTGGATCATCTCGCCGACCTGCGTGGCGACAAAAGCTTCGGCAGTTATGACAGCTTTGGCCAAGCCTTATTGATGCTTGCATCCACATCTCTTGTTGTTGCACTGGCATACAGTTCTTTTCATGATAGCAGCACGCCACTCTCGAAGAAGGACAATATTGGGGTATCATAGTCATGGTCTATAGAGTCAGACGTGTAAGACCCTATAAATGATGAATGATCAATAAAACAAGATCCGATATCAACAACGTCAAGACTAGTGTACCTTTTGCCTGAAAGATGATTGAGTACATTCCTTGAAAGGAGTGAAGTGTCACAATTAATATCCGGTGGAACAGTCTTCCCAAGACCTATGCGAGACATGTCTGTGCACTATTGGACAGTTACGCTGCTGGCATATAAGGCGCACACACGAGTATTTGTCATTGACGTCCTTACTCTTCTGCGGTGTGGTGTAAACAGCGCCAGGGGAAGCACCCATTGAAAATTTGTCTCCTTGAGTCTGCTGCATCTGCAGTGGCGCACAAACGCACGAATGGGAGAGATTCCACGAGTCTGCGTTTAACTGGTCGAGGCCATAAGGGTCCGCAATTAGTTGTGCGCTAATGCAAAGTCAGCGGAGAATCGGGGATGGTAGAGTAACATACCATGCTCTGATGAGGAAGCCGTGGTACTTTGATGCATCAAGAAGGGTAGTGGTTGGATGTTATGGCCATGACACAGATATGAGCATTTCCGGGTGTACAGTGCTGAATATAGATCCTTGATGTGTTGATTGTACTCATGGATGACGCCAATCTCGACGCCTCCCTGTGGAACCCGCTTCAATCTACCACTCGCAAACGCCAACTTATGCATTCATCTGAACCAACATCCAAAGCTTCGACCTTACTACGTAAACCAGCGAGCTCGTCTACATCTGTGTGGTCATCATCATGTAACATGCAAGCCACTGATAGCTCTACCAGGACAAACACTAGCAGGAGGGTTGCGTAAACATTGGAGTTCGCATTGTATGGGTGCTTACTACTGGCGGAGAAATTTTCCTTTGGTGGGCGGGAGAAAGTCATCTACAGCTGTTCAGACTTCTGAATGGATGCCTGTGACGAAGAGTTCTGTAGCGCGGTAAAGACGATCTTCTGTCTGTAGCAGCGAGGAATGCTGATGCAGAAGTCTTAATCGACGGAGATCAGAAAGAAAAGATACTATTACTAACCGAGAAATTACGTCTACTAATTGCAGCTATTCTTACCCAGTTGTTCTTTCGTTGTGGCTGGAGCCCTTTGCCAGTCGGCGTCTTTGAATGCTTCCGGCTGCAATCCTTTAGGTGTTCCTTCATTCGCAAGTTATGGACAGGAAGAGTCTGATTTGTGTATTTGAAGAGGGGAATAGAGTCGGGTTCCTGTGACGTTGTGGTTTCTTGGTCGAATCAGATGTGCGACTAGATCTTATGGTAGTTCTGTATGCAACTACAGAAGATGAGTCGGGAGCGGGAATTGGGATGGCAGTGAGAACTGCATCTGAATCATGCAAGAGTGATCAGACTGGTGGGAAGCGTAATTCAAGCAGTGATAAGTAAAATTAATAGATGAGGAAAGAAAAAAAACTGGAAATTTCTGATCCTATCAACGCCGTCGTCGTCGAGACAATGACCGGTGCGCTTCAAAGTTTCAATTTTGTAACGGAGTGCGGAAGTAAGTTAGATCCGTGTAAGGCTGGTAAACCACGTGCCACGCTAGGCTGCCCTGCGGGTCTTGGTCTAACAAGCGTTAACGTCACTGTATAAAAATTGACCTCGTTAGATATATCTCAGCATACCCTTAATCCGCAGCATTATTCATACCCACGAGCTCAGCAATGTCGTCTGTGCGGCTATCATTCCACTTTACTAGGCTTACGCAGTCTGCACCACGCTCATCATGGCGAGCTGCTGCCATTGGGAGCCGGTACATGTCCCAAAATATCTCTACGACGGAGGAAGCTGCTGTTTCGCTTGATATCGAGGTATAGACAATGTTTCTGTTTTTTTTTCTCGTTTTAACAATCTATGAAGCCCTCCCGGCTCACTGTCACCAAAACAATGAGCCCCAAGGAACTCCCTGCTTCTAAGAGCCTTATGTTCGGGCGGACATTCGTGAGTCAATTTCTCAGGTTCTTCATGTGTCGTATCTCATTGTCATTCCAGTCAGATCACATGCTCAAGATCCGCTGGACTGAAGCTACCGGCTGGGAAGCTCCCAGTATTGAACCTTGTAAGGCTTACCGTTTTCGTCATAGCTTTTATCGTTATCTTTGCTCTTATGTTCTAGTTGGCCCCATCGGTCTATCCCCTAGTGCTACCGTGCTTCATTATGCCCAATCACTATTCGAGGGTATGAAAGCCTACAGACACGAAGATGGCACTGTGACGATGTTCCGACCTGACATGAATATGAAACGTATGAACAGCAGCGCAAAGCGGCTGGCGCTTCCCGTACGCTCTATTATCCTATTCTGAGCAGATGTTCATGCCTATCTCCAACAGGCATTCGATGGAAATGCACTTCTCGAATGCATAAAGGAGTTGATTTCTCTTGACCGTCAATGGATACCTAAGGAGCCCGGACACAGTCTTTACATCCGACCTACATTTAGTGGGTAGTGCAACCCTCGGTTTCCACACTGATACTAAGAGACACTGCAGTTGGCACTAATGGCACGTTAGGTGTTGCACCCCCCACCGAAGCACTACTCTTCGTGATTACCAGCCCTGTGGGACCATACTACCCTCATGGGTTCAAGCCTGTACCTTTACATGGTACAACAGAGTACATTCGCGCCGCGCCTGGAGGTACGTCAAGTTCCTAGCTCACCTTCCGGATATTGTAATCACTACACCTAAAGGTACCGGTGCATATAAGCTTGCCGCGAACTATGCTCCAGGTGTTGTGGCACAAAAAAGTGCAGCAAAACAGGGTTACGCGCAGAACTTGTGGTTACATGGCCCCGAGCACTGGCTCACAGAGGTAGGCACCATGAACTTGTTCGCCGTTATTAAGGACAAAGACGGTAGTAAGCATTCATCTCAGTGGTGCCTCAAACGCATGTTGAATTCGTTGCTTCGTAGTTACTGAACTCATTACTCCCCCTCTCGACGGAATGATTCTTCCAGGTGTCACACGCGACTCTGTGTTAACCCTTGCCCGTAACCATGCCTCGGGGATCAAGCGTCTCGGAGGTCTTCCTGATGTTATCAAGGTTTCCGAACGCCCAATCAACATGGGCGAGATCATCCAATCCTCAAAGGAGGGTCGACTTATCGAGTTATTTGGTACCGGCACGGCTGCTGTTGTCACACCTGTGGACAGAATTGGGTACAACGGTGGTGATGTCACGATTCCTACTGGTAAGGACGGTATGGGTCCCATCTCGGAACCTCTTTGGGCGGAGCTGGTGGGTATCCAGACGGGGGCTATCAAGAGCAACTGGAACTACGTGGTGGCGCAGTAGTGCAGCTGCCATTGCATCTACAACAGGAGATCTATTTGTGCATTTCAATAGAATCTAAAATTCTCTGGTGACGATCGTAAGATGACAATTTCAGTTAGTTGTAACGCCGAAGGTTTTATGACATCCTTACGTGCTAGCTAGCCCTCTGATTTTTCTTGTCCAGGTAGCTGGTTATTTTTTCTGTTATTAGTAAGCGCTGGTAACGGAAGCCCACCGACACTGTATCGGGACCATGGTTCTCAGTTCTTCAGCCTTCATGCTCTACCAGTTTCGATGACCTGGTTGACGGCGCATCACGCACATATAATTATGCTCGCTCGCGATGCCACGTTGACCGACCTGATCAGACAACGCGGTGAGTGCGCTGCTTACGTTCTTGATGGGCATCTCGAATATAGATACAACTGGGGCTAGCAGCGGTAATCAGGCGGGTATAGCTTGTGAAGCAGTGTTACTCCTAGTCATGCATGCCGTAACAATTGGGGAGACTAAATTTTTGACACTCGGCGCTGGATTTGTTGTTGACGACAATGGCAGAACAGGAAGTTATTGCGACTGCACATGCTCTACCGGAGACCTCTGCGCCTCAGTCGCAGGATTTGGCCAAACATGCCTGCAGCTCGTATCATCTGTGCTGAGCGGATCTCCTTCGGCTGTTGACGGATAACCTGAACTAGTATGGCAGGTGGCCTCCAGAAAGGGGAGCTCCTGCAGAGATGATACATGAGGTACACTAATTACACAGATTGTCAAGGCGAAAGTCCACTTATGTTCACTTCCAGCCGGCCTTTGACTGCATGCGTGATTTGGGTTTGAAGACATCATCATGGGTATATCTCGCAGGACTGTGTGACAATACTGTCTTTTTGACGTCAGTGCATATCCGTTCATTCCAGCCTATGGACACGAATGATATTCGGATGCTCAGGCCGAGAAGCAATCGTTGGCACACCATGTACTGATTCGACGTGACTTGTTTGAGCGTCTTGATGAAAATAGTACGAAGTGTAGCTATCGAGTTGCAGCTATCGGCGACCAGCAACGAATCCGATCCATTAAGATCAAGCACATCATTTGACTCGTTATACTTGCCGTCATCCGCTAGTAGAGGGGCTGACTAAGAAGACATGCCCTTATAGCTTAGTCATCAAGGGCAAACTAATCATCATCCCTTTGGCAGTTGCCTCAAGCAGAGCATCCACCTGAGCATTTACTTGCATCGGTCTGGCAGTCCATTATACTTCTTAACATCTGTATTTTTTCTCCGTCCTCGATAACTCAAGATACACAGGCTAGTTGTATAACTCCTCTTTTCTCTCTTTTTCTCTGGTGAAAATGCTTTACGACCCGACCACTGTAACTCACCTGAAGCCCTGGTTGGTCCGAACTCTGGAGCCAATGTGCGTATCACCGGATGCTCTATCTTCATCGACTCTAACAAGAATATTCAGATGTGACGCGGAGCCTGGGGCACTTGCAGAATACGTTCTCGCTTTGCTGAAGCACAATGTCCCAGAAAATGAGATGAGAAAGGAGCTCAGCTCCCAGCTGGAAGAGTTTTTAGAGAAAGGTGCGCATGATCCTGGTGCAATATTTGCGTCTCGTTCTCAATTCGGTACCCAGAGGGACCCTCATTTATAGATACATTATTCACTGTTCTCAGAACTAAGACGTATCTCCCGTACACGGCCAGCGACCCAACAAGTTCTTTCCCGTTGGCCTCACATTCTGCAGATACTGGGATTCCTATACCTCTGGATGGTCTCCTATCTAATCACTCGCCGACGGAAAGAGGGCAGAAACGATCGCTGGAACACGATGAACGTGACGGGCGCCCACCCACGAAAGGTGCTCGGTTAAGTGCAGAAGGCCAATTTTCACGGTATCCCAACGGTCGTGATTCTCGTTCTACCGGTGCATGGAGTGGTAGCCAAAATAGGCCTGGTGGCCAAGGGATGATAATGAATAGTCCAGTGGGTAGCGGCATGAATGGGAGCAATCAAAGTGTGGGCACCCGACGACCACAAAATTATCAGCCGCCAGACCAAAGAAAAGGAATATGTCGTGATTATCATAGTGCGCTTGCTCTTTCGTAATAATTTAAAGAAGCTGCTCACGTGTATCCCTACAGATAATGGATATTGTGCTCGTGGTGCATTATGCAAGTATAGTCATGGCGAAGATGCTTTCGTCCCATCGCAAATGTTTTCTATGAATGGTGCTGTACCATTTTTACCAATGTTTGGTGGAATGCCTTTCGGTATGGCCCAAGGTGCCCCCTATGATCCTCACGAGGCACGCATGGATATGCGTCCGAATGGGGCCGGCATCGGCTTGGGTCGTGGAACGCAACGTGCTCCTCTACTTTCCAGGGCTCAGCAAGAGGACAGTAGTCAAGTCTCTCACATAGTGGACAGGTCTGGCGAACTTCCGGTCATACAGGACCTAACTCCCCAGCCGCTTCAAGAATCTGCACCGCCGGCATCACCAGCAGGGGATTCCATCCAGCAGAGTTCCACACCCATGCAGCAGCAACCAGTTCAACATATAGACGTGGAGATGGGTGTTCCGAGTGTACCGGGGCCATCGACGTACAACACACGTGGTGGGTTCGGAGCCGGGGTGAGGGGTGCACCTCGTGGACGAGGCATATTTGGTGGTGACGCGCAGACCTTCCGTCCAGAACGACGGCAAGATAAAACACTCGTTGTGGAAAAGATTCCAGAGGACAAGCTCAGCCTTGACGCTGTCAATGGTTGGTTCAAGCGCTTCGGGACAGTCACCAACGTTGCGATCGATGCTCGCAGTGCCAAGGCCCTCGTGAGTTTCGCTGAACACACCGAGGCTCATGCTGCATGGAAGTCGGAAGATGCCGTGTTTGGGAATCGGTTTGTGAAGGTCTTTTGGCATCGGCCAATGGAAGGACATGGGCAAACAGGATCGCGAATGTTAGCGGCCTCTGCACCACTACTGGCCAACCTGGCTGCGCGTGAGACCCCCATGCCTTCTGCACCAACCCAGCCTCCTGTACCGCCCGTCACGACTCCCGCCCGTAAACCGCCCCTTCATTCTCCCGTCGTATCAGAGCTTGCAGCGAAGCAGAAGCTGCTGGAGCAACAGATAGCGGAGCAGAAGTCTTTAATGACTTCATTAGAGACCTCTTCTCCCGAGGAGAAGAAAGGGATTCTAGCAAGATTACGGAAATTGGGAGAGGAGATGACGATTTCATCAGTACCGTCACCATCGTCGGCTATCCCCGCCAAGGTCCATTCCCCTGCCTTGACTACTCAGAATGATCACGAGAAAAAGGAGAGAGAACGGTTGGATAAGGAGCTTGAGTTGCATGCCGTTGGGGAGTCTACAGAGGAACTGAAGGCTAAACTCGCAAAATTAAGGGAGGAGGCAGCAAGTCTTGGAATATCGGAGACCACTCCTGAAGTCTCGTATGGTGCACCGTATCGTGGATACAGAGGTCGCGGTCGTGGGGCACGTGGAGCCTTCTACCGCGGAGCACCGCGAGGTGGCCCTCCTAGGGCGAGTATGAAGCTCGACAACCGCCCAAGGAAGTTGTTGGTGAAGGGCGTTCGTGAAGATAGCCTGCAAGCATTGCGGGACTGGTATGAAGTACGTCGAGATTCTTCATTTTTGGACGCGTGGCTCATTGATAATTATAGACCACCGGCCAGCTTGACTCAACGGAGAGCATCGGCGGTGATGAAGTTCTCGTCAATTTCAAGACGAGAGCAGCTGCTGAGCAGGTTGGTCAAGAGATGATTTATTGTATCGGATTTGTGCTCATAATTTGGTCAGGGTTTTGCCAAAGGATCAACCATCGCTGCAGTAGGTCCAGTGAAGATTTCATGGTACAGTGCCCAGCCATCGCAAGCAAAACCGCAAGGCATCGCCGCGCCCATACCGCAACCTGCTCCCACAAAAGACATCCATCCAAACGATACGCGGAATACTTCACCGTCTCCCGGACGCCGTCCCTCCCCCCGTCCACAAGACGAAGAAGTCATTGCCAGTGGGTGGGGCGATGGTGATGAGGATGGTATGGGCATGTTTTGATCGTACAGATTTTGCGATCGTTGGAATTGTCTTGATATTGTACTCGGTGGCGGTATATCTTAGTCCTGCTGGCGGCTCGAAAATTTTGCCTGCAGTCTCAACGTCTAAATCACTAAGTTACACCCCGCTCGTCACTCGATTTTGTCTGTCAACCAGTCAATTCTTAATTCGTGGTCTACGTCTATCGTATAGCGTAGAAGTGCGTTTGTGAAGTTCGTTAAGACTTGTGATTCGTAACGTTTAAATTTTACATCTGTGCGCACTATGAGTTCGTATAGATTCATGTATCATATCTTCGTCGACTATGTCCACCCGCGATGGGAGCTATAAATTATAATGATTTAGGGAGTCGAGGTATGACCACTCCGTTGGCATTGGAGGCATCCACAGCCCTGCGTCGGCGAAACGTTAAGTTCACGGCATCTCCCATATCGACTTCACCACTCTGAACCTTTTTGACTGCGCCAAGATCAGCAGTCCTACAAAAGGGTGGCGATCTGATTTGGTTCATCGGAGGCTCGTTGATTCTTGGGGAAGATAAAGAAAGATAGGGTACTTCGCCCGGAAGGATCCCATCACTGGCATCCTCTCCCAATGCCGCTGGAGAATCGCACAGCGCGAGCTTCGTCCACGTTTGAGCGATATTGTTAATATCCTTCTCAATGTCAAATGACGTCCGTAGCTGAGATCGGGATGTATCTGTGGTTTCCGGTGGGTCGTAACGCTCTAAAGACCTCAGGTAGTCCGGAACTCCTGAAAAAGGCTCCGAGTTGGTGTTCGTGTGTGCACCTTTATGCTTTCGATGATCTTTGTGATAAAGCACAATTTCCTCCTTGATTTCGTCGACAGCCCCGCCGATGATAGCTTTGAATTTCCTGAATCTGGCTTTCAGCTGTGACTCGTGGGCCATTTGCAGTTGCTTCTCCATAGGCGGGAGCCAAGCCTCGTTGATAGGGGAGAGCGAATGAGGCGATTGTGGAGACGTGTTGCATGTTGAATGAGAATCAATGAAGAGAAGAGCAATAGGCTGGCTATCTTGTCGGATACAACGACGCTTGTAACTGGCGTCATCCCCTGAGGATGATCTCCGTGCACGAGCACGACTCCTATTGGTAGGGCATTGACGATGAACAGCATCTAGACTCGTGGGAGGCGATCTATTCCCCTCCCCTAAAACCGGGGTCCCATATTTCGTGGAGAATATTCCGGGAGGTGCAGCTGGTGAGAATTCTGAGCGACCCCAAGGGCGTGAAAGGGAGCTGGCGATCAGGCTAGGAGGCGGTGGTGATGTACATGGGCAAGGAGGGGATCTTGTTGGGGGAAGGACTTGACCTTCCTTGTCACACCCATGTTGCATGGATAATGATCGCGACGGAGGCACCGACGCCGAATTCGCTTCTCCGCAAGGGGAGCCTCTACCGTGCGATAGAGATATATGTCGTAATGAAAAGGATGTGGGTGGCAAAACACTCGACGCGAGCGTACGTTCTCGTGGGGAATGTACCGAAGTATTACGAGAACATGTTATGGTTGGCGAGACAGTCGGGCGAGTGATAAATGTGAGAGCACAGTGACTGTACACCTTCTGTGGGAGATTCTGTGTAGAATAGCGGTGCTGGATCTCGTCGATCACCATCCGGTCTGATGACCATCGGATCTGACAGGCAGAAGGAACATCAACCGACATACGGGATGAAGCCCTATGCTGGACGCTTTGATCAACATTCGGAGAAAATGAATCAACCGATATCTGAGACGAAGCCTTGCGACAGGTGCCTGTCAATGAGGAAGGTTCAATAGACATTTTGGAACTCCTTTTCCGAACCAGGGTAGAGTATAGAGGGGCATCGTCAAGGGACATGGGCTTTATATCGGACCCAGGGGAAGATCCCGAGATGGACACAGTCGCTAAGATGCCATATACATGGTTGTTCCGCTCCTGAGTGACCGTATCTGGTGAAAAAGTCGTCGATTGGCGAGTAGCAGGTACACGATCGATGAAGGAAGGGTCCGGCACATGCTATACCGAAGATTCAATGAAATTGATTTTTTCTTACAATCAAAGTTCCACTACCTGCTTGGCTTGAGGATGACGACCAGCGTGACCTGTTGTTGACACCGACGCTTGTTTCCCCTCGTGATTGTTTCCCAGAGGTCTGAGACGAGTCTCTTCTCTTTGTTTGAAATAGTGTGAATGAGGACGGTCATCGATACGAGCCCCTATTCGAGAGAGGAGAGAAGGTTTTCGCAGGGGCTGCGAGTTTGGCATTGACGCGTGTATCGGGAATTAGCTGTGAGGGATGCAATACTATCAGTCTGCTCCCAACTCCAAGTCTTATACCTTGCCCAATCCTTGTTCTCGACACGGTCACCACACTGGCACGTGTTCGTGAAAATACAAAAACACGCGTCTTTTTGATACAGTGTGGGTCCAGAGAGGCGCTCATGGATAATCCTCTCAACCTAAAAGGTACTAGGTACAACCCACACCTTTTTGAAGTCGAAGCGCGATCATGAAGGGTCCTGCCAGGCGAGAGTGAGTACAATAACTGAATATCCGGCCCCGAGGAATCCTCACTGGGCAAGTTATCGACCCTGTTTGTTAGTATCATACAATAGCCACCAGAGGACAAAAGTAGGTCGGTTTCCATGGGTATTGGAGTCGTTGAAACGATCAATGTTCCCAGTACCACGTCGTCAACTTGGAATATCAGGTCAGTTCATCCAGGTGGACCTAGTACCAAGCCGTGACGGTGCCGAGTCTATTGAGCACAAATTCAATCTCCGCAACTTCTTGTCAGCGTTCAAGTTGTCCTTGCATGTATGATAAAGCTTTTTTTAATGATCTGTCTCAAGATATTCAATTACGAGGTGTTCACATGGCAGATCTGAACTCAAGACTGCAATGTGCAGCATAGGTCCGAAAGATCTGGGTAGCTTCAAGTTGATGAGCGAGCGTGCTGGCCTTGGGACGCTACCTGAATACATGACGGGCGAGTCCTGACTCAGAGATTCCATGTGTTGGAAGTTGGAGCTGTCTGATTTTATTCGTAAGTATCTGTTCTTCAGTTTTGTCTCACCCGGTAATATGATTGTCTTCCGAGTCAAGTCACGTCTTCAAGAGTACATCCAGGTGAGCTTTAGCTGCCAGTATTGTACTGGGAACTGGGTGCTTATATATATATTTGCAATTTCCCTCGATAACTACAACCCCGTGTTCCGGAGTGAGACAGTTCTCTTGAGTGTTTGGACAAAGCCTGAGTCCATGTACAAGGTCATCATGACGTTCTTTGTGTATCAGTTGACGGGACCGGCTTTGCGGAGTCATCGAGCTCTAACAGGATTCCCACATGCCTGTGGTGGTCTAGTTTCATGTTCAATGACATTCTGCTTTATCCGTCTCCGAGGAACAAGATTTGGGCCTGGAGTACAATGAACCCTCATCCTCATTTTCAGCCTAAACGTCCTGGCTCGGAGCTGCATGAATTCAGTTCAGACCATTGGCGTTGGGGACTATGGGCAAGTAACTTTTTGAGAGCTCTTTGACCTGTGCCTCTGTAAAGTTATAGGCAGCTCGTATGTTGGTAACTCACTCCCGGCTCGACGATCAATCCAGATCTACCAATATGTCATACTCGCAGCAGAATAGTGGTCATGAACGTTTTCCCTACGCCATGTATAACAACACGTTGGGTATACACCAAGTTGTGCATCCCCACCAAATAAGCGACCATCCGTCGTTTATTAATATGCCCATCTCTTCAGCATCGGTGAGTTTTATCTGCATAGTTGATTTTGTCACTATGATTAACGGGGACTAGAATCCCTCCATCCAGTATTCTGGCAGTACCTCTCACAGCGTAGAGAAGTTTGTCCCGATGGACATTCCGCAGTATAACAAAGACGGCTCTTCGACTGTTATGTTTCAGGTGAATACAGAAAGGAATAGTCTGAGTATTCCTTTGGAGAAGTGTCTTCAGCCCAGCGGTGGAGCGCACTTGAAGAACGCCCAAGAAATTATGTTCCCGACAGTCGACCGTACTCAGGTCCAGACTTTCAATCTCGTCATCGCTGTAAGTGTTCGCACCCTCGATCGATTGCGAGACCTAAGTTCAGTGTTAGTGGCCCGGATACGACACAGTGGAGTTCCCTATCGACATCGGGACGAATGAAAAGCCCATCACAAGGGCTGATCTCGCGCGTCAAATTGCGTATCACTTCTTTGGATTTTTCATTGTATGTGTGCACGTTCTTCTCTCGTAATTTGTTGTTAATACACTGTCAACTAGCAATGCGATAGCGGTCATTTAACTCAGAGGTCGCTTTTTCAGTGGAAAGTCGGAGGGCGAGACGGTTATAAGTTTCATCAGATCCGCCTCTCAACATTCTGGAATATCGAAGGGACCTCTTGGGCTGCCTCTGTCAGAGTCCTGGAAAATGCATAGCGCCTGCTGTACATCTTAACTCCTCCCCGCAAATTCTCTATACCCTCGTTGCATCTAAATACCATGACAGGATGACCACTATTTAGTGTATATATTGTACTCCGAGCACTAAATGAGAGCCGAACTGAAACACTTTTACATGTCACTGCTGGCTCTCCTCTCTGAAGGTCATGGTCGCCATTAATGTGAGAGCTCATAGCGAGTAGGAATAGTCCAGACTCCAGACCTTGGTCACGGAAAACGAGACTGGTGCGTGGATGAGCTCACATGTATGCGGTAAAAAAAAACACCATCACGGTAGAATATCTTTGAACTATATTTCATAACACTTTCATCAGCATGGCATTATGGTTATCGCAGCGTCTGATGAACATGATTGTGGATTTAGACTTGGTACCAATACTTGTTCTTGCCAATGAACCAGAAAACCTGCTGTTCCTCTCCATCATCTAATGTTGCCGGCCAGACAGTGCCAGGTGGACATGCTGTACCAACTTGTGCGTAAATGGCTTCTTCACGATACAAGAAGCATAGGATGTCTATGAATTCCTGTCGGTCACATACTGCCCTAAGCCTCCACCGCAGCTCGGTCTATCGGATTGAGATTAAGCACACGAACAAATTTGTCAAAACACTCACCTGAGAAATTCCTGGATGGAAAAAGACGATGCCCACCACAGCGTGTAAGATAGCGTTCCAGGTCTCTCGTATCGTACCACCACGGATATCTAGCCAGCGTCGAGGTAAGGCAAGAGTTTTTGGTTCCTTTATAATCTCCACTGTCCAAGGACGGGCATGAAGGCAGGAAATGATGACTGGCACAGAGTATCCAGCCCACAGAATTAGGGGTGGGGATGTTTGGGACATTCGTTGTAACAGGTCCATGACCACATCACCAGCACCAAAAGCCTCAAAGTATAAAATGATCAGCAAGTTGGCAAATGATGCCCGAATAGAAAACATACTATGTAGTGCGACTTTGATGAACCTGATTCTGGTGACGCATTAGCTCGATCAAAAATGTTTCGAGCCAGTATTCGTTGTTCGCCATCCAGACCAGCGACAAACTTGGAAAATGTCGACTCGGTGCATAGCACGCAATCTACGATTCTTGATCGTGTATTCTCAGCACAAGCAGCGTCAGCTCCGGTGACCGTTTTTCCGTGTTGCTTGATCTCGTCGAGTGATGTGTTCGTAGGGCCCAAGCTTGACTCATATGAAGGCAATATCGCGTTTCCACTGCCTTCGTTATCGTCTCCATCGAGTGGATTCAAGCGGACTTGGATGCCAGTCTCGATATCATTATCATCTATTCTCTGTGAGAGGGAAGGAACTGTAACTAAGGCACCGCACATACCTGCTTTTTTGCTGTTCCAGTCAAGCTTTGTTCGAGCGTTTCGTGACTGTGCTGTATCTATGATGAAATTGACCTGTGTGTTCTTGTCCATGCGACACTTTTGCTATACAGCCTAGTCATCGACGTACCTGTTCCTCTGACACTAGCTGGAGTAGTGCTGCGATGTCACCATCAGAAGCTAACAAGGGCCATTCCAGGCTGTCAACTTGCTCTGCAAATACCTCATCCAGAGCGACAGCGTCTTGAAATAAGTCTCCATGTATCGAGCCTCCGATGGCGTTTAGGTTGCTACAATCGTGTTAATCAGCAGAATTGTTAATCAATAACTTTGCTCACACTTCTGATATTTTCAATGTACGTCCCGGCTTCATCTTTTTGGGATCACGAACCACCTTTGACAGGACTCCACGGCGCAAAAGGTTGGAGGTTGCGAGGGATACAGACTGATCACCTACACTGTGGAGCATTTCCGCTGCCAAATCAGCGTCATAATGTTCGCTAGACATGCCAAAAACCATCTGTAGAACGGTGCAAAGGTAAGAAGCGAGTGGACAGGCCAAACAAACATCAGCCACCTTTAGCGCAGCTTCCGCGACTTGGACTACATCATCACTCGTGTTAGTGACATATGGAACATCGTCTGGTGCATGAGTGAAAGACTGTCGGAGAAACTGTTTTTCTCGACCTTCTTCGACGGCAGCTTGCCACATAAATTCCCAAGCAGGAGAAATAGTTGCGTTGCAAAGCACATCGAAATGTTGTATGATGTCATCCACTGATGCTGGTAGCTTCGTTCGAGTTGTATGTTCAACATAACCAACTCTCCTAATTGCGGTCAGCATCCATATGAATTAGACAGTCGAAAGTAAACTTACAGGGCATTCTTATCAACGTGTTTACGAAGAAACTCTATGTGATTTACTATGTCAAAGTTCGACGGGCTTTGAGGATCTTCGTCGGGAAGGTGCTCGGTACCCCTATGCTGAACCCAAAGGTCATGCCATCGGTCCTCGAGGCGCGCCATATACACTTCTTCACCAGTATTCTCTCGGAGATGTGAGAGGCGGAGGCGGACAGAATTACGCGGCACAGCAGGAAACACTTGGTCGAGAGCTGAAAGATCGATCTTGACCCCACTGCGACATCGAGCACGAATTACAGCTGATGCATCACGGGCGAGTTCATCGTATTCTCGAGTCCAGTGGAATCTAGAGCGCCTCTGGTGTGGTGTCCTATTCTCTGATTGGTCTACAAAAGGCGGTTACATCTGAATGCACAGAAAGGTAGATAAATAGAACTAGCCTTCCTTGGTCTTGGACTTTCCTCTCGACTTGTCTATTTGTTGCGCGAGAATAGGTGGTCCTTGCTGAGCTATGAGAAAATGCACCGATTTCTCAGGAGGATTGGCTGCAACAGGAGGTAAAGCTGTGAGGCGCGTGGCCGCAAGCGCCTTCGGCCTTGCAATAACCTTGTTTGAAGCCAGTCGAGCCTCCCGGATGGCGTTTTCAATTTCACTTTGCCATCGATCTTTATCTCTGATCGAGCTAGATTGTATGAAGCGACTGTGAACAGCTCGAATCCGGATACCAATGGTCCCCTTAAGAGGCCCAGGATGCACGCGCTGAAGCAGAGCTTCCCAGTCGCTTTCCCTTTGAAGCTTTGCTTCTTCGGCCTTCTTCTGAAGCATGGTTTTGGCTTCGGCGTTTTGCATCGCACCATGCTCTTCCCCGTCTCGTTTCTGCCTCGCTCGTGCTTTCTTCATTTCACGTAAAACCTTTTCAGTAGCTTCTTTGAGGTAGGCGACAACAGGCGCACGTGGAGCACTAAGAACATGGCAAATCTGCTGCAGCTGTGAGTCAATATCCTCGTCGTCAAGTGGACTGCGAGCCGTGGTGCGGTCTACAGATTGGTCTAGATAACGCTTCTGGTGCCAGGTAAGGCGGTATTCCAAGTCCCAGGATGTTCTCCGGCGAAGGAATCGCAGAAGAGATGTGTTTGTTGGAGGTCCCGAAGTACCGTGCGTTGGACAAACAGCGCTTCGTACGTAAGCGACATCTCGACAAACTTTATGCAGCTCATCCCAGAAAGCTACGCCATTACAACGAGATTTCACAGAGACGCGCCTCCAGTAGGACGGAGAAGAATCCGAAAGAGCCCAGAGATGTAACGGTGCTGTTTCATTGAAGCGCCAATATTGGGGCGCGGCAGATGGTGAGGATACCCGCCACCCGTCAAAAGCGGCTGCCTTGAGTGGAACTGTCCTGCCATTAGAGAGTGTGCATGTGAAATCCGCGTTGTCATCCGTGGATGGTTCGTAAGGAGTCACAAGTCCAAGAAGTCGAAGGGCATCTAAGAGTTCTAGAATGCGAGATTTGGAATGCAATTTTCCCACCTGCAGCTTTGCTGATATATGGTTCGGTAGGTCTCCAATTAGTGTTTCTTTACCCTCCACGGAGGCCATGAGCTTTGATAGCTCTTCGTCGTAACTGAGCACGGCAATGAACGAGCAATAAGTAGCAATGGGAACGTCGAACTGGTACAAGGAGATGTCGATCATGGAATGCTCGCGAGATGCAATACGGGGCGAAGAATGTTGTTCGAGCAACCCAAGGGTAAAGACGTGAAAGTCCCGCAACCGAGCCGCTTTTCCAACTCTGAAGCCATATAACTGCGCTACCGTAGTTCTCTCCGTAAGTAGTACGTCACGGATCGTTTCAGAGTCGTATGAGAAAAGTTCCTCCGCCTTGGTAGTGTCAAGGACCTGATGTCCAGCATCATCTTGCCCGGATTTCTCCATCTGCAGTAAATGAAGCGGTAGAGTGGTGTTGTGCGAAACGCTGCTCGAAGCTCCAAAATCCACAGGCTCCTCAAATGTCTTGACAGGCCGAACACTGGGAACCGGGGTAGTGTGGCTCAGATGATGTAAAAATGCGTTGATTTTCTCTTGAGGCGTGTCTGGGAGATAAACAAGGGAGGCAGGCCGAGTACTTCCGGTGACAGAGAATACAGTGGTTTTGAGGACTTTGACGCGGCCACGGCTTTCCATGTTCTTTATGGTAGCGTCTGCGGTTCTCTTGTCAATACGAGTTCCTGAGGGTGCACTCGCAGGTTCTCCGCGGTGAGCTATGTCATTGAGCAGAGCGATATGAGCATCAAAAAAATGTTTTGTGTGCAGATTTGCAATGCCGCCAAAGTCTTGGATTACCCGAAAAAATTCGTTCTCGCGGCGTAAATGGGATATGTTCGTATTTGTTTTGAGCTTGTCACTAGGCTTAATTCGCGAACGCTTTGGTTGGGACGGCGTTACTGAAAGTGGGGATCCCTTTCGTTTCTCTCCTATTGCAGTGGATATTACGTCCGCCTCCATCAGCCATCACATTAGTCGAGTGATGTGAAATAAACATGAAGTTCACTTACAGAGGACGTCCTCAGCAGTGCGGGATCGAGAATTATAGGTTCGGAAGGGCGCTTATCCATGACGAATAATCTATCGGTCCTTGAGCCATCCACTACTTGCGATGGGATACGAACGACCTCCGATTCATCAATTCGATTATCAGAACTTCCACCAGGTAGTCCTTCTACCACACTCGGGCTAGAGGAAGCACCCTTCTCGCGAATTGTGGGTTTCGGTTGTCTACAAGATTCCTGGGGTTTTGGTCCCTCTGCCACAAGCCCGTCGTGATATTCCATCAGGTCACCAGTGTCGGTTGTAAGCGCAACGCCATCAGACAGACGCGATACCGTGGCTTGCACATTGGCGCCTACCACAGCTTGACGATTACGATGTTGCTCGTCACCGGGACCCTCATGTACCGCCGATAAGGACAAGTCAAATGATCCCTGAAACGAACGATTTCCTTCCTTCGGGCTTGATGTCGAAGGAGTAACATGAGATGTGGCTGAAGTCATTCCTTGCAGAGGACTAGCTACGCCGGTCATACTCGCCCCCTCCAGAGTCTCTGATGGAGGCGCTGACGGGACTTGTGCGGCAAAAACAATGTCATTAACACCCTCCATCGATTCACTCCTTGAAACTTCGGTATGGCAAACGACCGGTTCAGCATCGGGCTTCTGTCGGGGTGGACGGCCTCGTCTTTTGGGAACCTTGGGTACCGTCGAAGTCCCATCCCCCTCCTCAGCAATTGGATTTTTGCGAGGTTGAACACGCTTTTTCGGAGGGATAGAGATGCCATCCTCCTCACTACGTGGCTTTTTCCGTGGGCGGCCCCTTTTGGGTTTTGGGACAGGTTCTGGCGTACCCTCAACCGCTTCGTCATCTCCTGGATCTTCGGTTTCTGGCCTTTTACGCTTCTTAGCTCCTGTCTTCACTCTGCCCTCCTTGCCCTTGAACATGTCTTCATAGTGGTGGAGAGTTTCATCGTTATCATAAAACATCGCCTCATGGAACATGGCAAAATCACCGGCTTTTGAGAGATCAATGTTAGCATATGACGTTGTCGTATCATCAAGCTTTTCGCTGGCCATGATAGTTGTATATGCCGCAACAGTGTAATATCGATGTCGTCTTTCCCGCCCAAACGACTCCATGAAGTCCGCTGTCCCGAGATCGCTGAGGTGAGCGGGAGGGCGACTCTTGACTGCTCTGGTTAGCAGAAGTTCGATAGTGCGTCTATCGAAATTTCCAAGAGCGCTGCAAATTTCCTGTGGACAGAGTCAAATTGTTACCCTAGTGCGCCGTGTGGAGACTTACACGGAGAGTTCTGCCGGAAGGTCCTGCTTCTTCAAGTACATCTGACACTTGTTTCTGGATTGTGCGGTTTGCCCTAACCTCAGTGTAACCAGCTGTGGGGCTAATTAGATTAGTCTACACATGAATGATGTGTCACACCAGATGTATCCTCAAGCACGATTTCCTTGTCATCCTCCTCGCCTTCCTGAGGGGCAAGAATAACACCGCCCTCTGAGAGCTGACTGTCTGGAGTAACAAGCCGTATGCACTTGACATGCCTGTCTTTGACTTTGAAGCTCGGAACCAACACACGTTCTATCACTCCTTGCGCAATCAGCTCTCGCAGACGAGTTTCAAAAAAGCGACGGTCTGTTTTGGTTGGATCCATAAAGCCCTGCAGTGATTCAATAAAACCTCCGCACCATAACTGAACATGACCTACGATGGTGATAATTAAGTTATTTGACGCATGAATATTATTCGGCGACGCCTTCAGCAACTTGACGATTCTGTTTTTGATTAGTGGAAGACTAGACAGATGTCTGGCATCCACAGGCTCAAAGTCGAGTTCTGATGCAGCAAAGGGAGTCCCATCTTCAACAGGAGTTGCGTCCTGCGGATGACACTCTCCAATAACAATAGGTTCGTCATCTTTGGCTTCCTCTTGCTGAATCTGTTGCCAGAACGCGCTACGCTCCACAAAATATCTGTGAATGCAGGAGTGATTACCAACACCTCCTCGCCGTGCTTTGATACTATCCCTGCATCATTATGTGCTTTGTAGAGAGAAAGAACAAAACATACATTAAGCCAAGCTCCAGCAGTTGTTTGATGACATAAAAGCACGTTTTCTGGTCGTACTTTGTCTTACGTCCGAGCTCGACAGTTGATACACCTTCTTCGCGACCTCTTGTGATGAATTGCAAAGCACTGTAAACCATTGGACTGAGTTTCGAAGACTGCAAAAATGATGAGCTCAGATTGAGTTAGATAACGATTGCTACATACTCTAATATGAGATCCTGTGATTGCAGCAAAAGATGTCTCTGGATCAACAGCAATCCTGAGATCCTCGCCATATTCTGCCCTTAGGTCCTCCAATGACCTATCTCGTGCATTCTCAACGAGAGTAAGTGACGGTGGGGCTTCTTCGACAAGCACTTCGCCCTTAGCTGCCGCCTTACGCTTTGCACTCGTCTGAGGAGCGACGTACACTTCAGATGATACGCCCGGAGGAACTGTACCAACGCGAACGGTGGGTTGCTGGACGACTATGGACCAGACAAACGCGCAAAAAGCATCGTCGACGACTTGTGGGTGGGTGGCGTCATGACTATGGAATCCTACAATGAAATCTCGCAAGCGGGAAACATTACAACCTGTAGGAACGATGGGAAATAAGAAAAATCAGATGCTGTTCGAGAAAATCGAGAAAATAGATATTGAAGAGTTGTTATGATGGGGATTCGAACGATGCTCTTCGCGATTAGAGTCCAAAAGAAGCCGACAGGATAAGAATACATAGTGCTGACGTACCAAGATCGCCGTCGAACGAAAGCTCTCGGAGACAATGATGCACGAGTTCATCCATGATCAGGAGGATTAAGAGTCCTAACAGGTCCTAACCAGTGAAAACAGTAACACTCCCTTTCAATTGGAGTCTGGACGCCACCTGACTCCAGACGGTGTGGGATTACTCGATATCGGTGGCTATCACTATATTTAGTGGGCTAGCGTCGATGAGGAAAGGCGTTAGTGTGCGTGACAATGTAATGTGACGGTGACAGTTGAACTGTCGCCTGAAAACTTTTATTCTGAGTTGGCCGTTATGATTTGCACAAAAGACTGAACGTTCTACTGGTAACTGTAGCTGTCCGGTGACCCCCAGTATCTATGTATGCCATCACTCAGTTGCAGTTCCGAAACTTCCGAATCTAAGATCAGATTAACTCGGGGTAACCGGCCGACTCCTAGTCGGCTATTCCATAATAACATCCCCTAACATACTCCATAGCTAGGGTACCGCGTTTGCTCTACTCCGTTTGCTTTCTCTTTCTGAATAAACAACAGCGCTAGCTGACTGTCCAAAAGTTCTAGGATTCGAAACGTACGTTACTAATACTGATAGCCACTGCATTGTCTCTATATATTAAGCACGGATTACCGATGTAATGTATCAGACTCGAAGAATAAGAAATATTATAATTCGCTGGTTCTCCATCGATATGCTCCAAGTCAGTGCACGAAATACTAGAAGCTCGTCATACAAGACCATACCTGGTCTCGACTGCAGAACTGACATAGGTTACCCCTTCAATTAGATGATGTCCTCATCATCATCTACGACAAAGCTGCCGATGGCATACTCGTCTGGCAAATCATCCTCGCGTACGGGAGAACTTGATACACCGGCGCGGCGCTTTGCGCTCTCACCTCGGGCGTATGCTTCCCTCCTCACCAGTTTGGTGGCAAACGCAGGACCTCCCAGCGGGACTTGTGTGAATAAACCCCGTCGATAAGCGAGTGATTGATCATAAGAAGGGGAGACCTGAGTGTTTGCGATGTCCTTGATGAATTGGCGATCGGAATCACTTTCAACATCATCTTCCGAGTGCGACGATCCCTCACTTGCTTCGTCACCAGAGTGGACCGCTTCTCCATCTAGCCATGGGTTATGTCGCATAGATATTAAAGGCTTTCGCTTGCTACGCTTTGGGGGCGGACTTGATCCCCAAGAAATAATATCTGTATCCTTTCGTTTCAAACGCCGTTGGGAAAGAGGTGGCATATCCAATACCGGCGAGTCAAGCTCTGCGGCTGCTGCACGCGGCTTGAAAAAACGTCCAGCGGGTCGCACAGCGAATGAGGCATTGGGAATGTCGTGATCAGAAGAGTATGCGGGTGACTGGACAATACCTCGGCATGGTAGGGGAGGTGGTTGCATTAGAAGTGCCCCAGGCGAAAGATTTCTGGCGTCTGCAACGCTTTCATCCTCAAACAGGCGATCCGCGCGAGGACTGCGTTCCTGCGGTGGTGTCATGGGCGGAGAAGACAGAATTTGAATGTCAGGCTCATCATCTGATCCTAGTAGCCACGCCATGCTTTGTGTATTACCCGCCACACCGTCCGAAGATGAGAGCAGTGATGGCAAGCGATTCGGGGATCCTTCTCGACTTCTCCCATTATCGGTCGGAGAATTTCTTGGACCACACGACATTGATGAAGATTCTGCGGCTTGCTCAGGGTCAGTCTGGGGTGGCGGCGGGGAAGATGATAATTCTATCACGTCGTCCGCATCACAAATCATCGGCGACAAAGATAACATGCTTGGCGCTGAAGGATTCTCCGCCTCTGAGGAGCTTAAAAGTAGCACATCGTCTCCGGTAGGACGACAGGAAAGACTTTGGGCTGCAGATGGTTTGACAGGACTATTCGAACGATCTCGAGCCAAAACCGGAACCTCGTCAGGTGAAGACGAGTGATACCTGGTCAAAGCTGGCCGTTTTTTCTTGGGGGAAGGAGTTTTACGAGCGATAGCCTCGCGAGCAGCTAGTGAGATGCCCTGCTCGATTTCAACATCATCGTCATCGTCAACACCTTTCCGGGAGAATTGGCTTGTGGTCAATGGCTCTTTCTCCTTCACCTTCCTGCGTGACGTTGCCGGCTGTCGTTTCTTGGATGGATCCATTGTACGTGCATTACGCAACTTGCCCTTCTTTGTACTGACACCAGCAGGCGTCGAAGCGGTACGGCGTATATCCATGAGATTAGCCTCCAATTCCATATCTGTCGAGTCATCTTCTGCAGCTGTGGGATCAAAGCCTTTCGTCTTTGCCTTCTTTCTCTTCTTCATGACTGCGCCCTTGATAAGCAGGTCTTTGACACTAACAAAGCCCGTGCTTGCGCCTTGAGGTATATTCCTAGCAAAATCATCATTCCGCTTGCGTTTCTTGCCCTTCGGAGACAAATTCTCGTCATTAACAACTGCGCTCTTCTTTCGCGAGGCATGTTCTTGGCGTACGTACTCCTCAATCTCCATTTTCTTCTCGAGTACTTGGGGCTTCGCGTGTTCAGGGAGAAGTCGTGAGACGTCGCCATAAAGTTCTAGCTGATCGCCGCGGACGATACATCTCTGCAACTCGCCGTATGTGTCCTTCGCTTTATCCCAATTTAACTCCTCGCGGATCTCGGAGAGGAGGACGTGGACATAGCCGTCCCGTTTACGACCTGTGCGTCCAACACGCTGAAGCTGCACATTACGACGGAAGAGCGGTTATAAACATGTAAAAGGGATGACTTAAACGGTACACACCATGCGAATTGGTGTCTTCTGTGCGTCATAACACACAATCATGTCAACTTCTCCAATATCGAGACCCTCTTCGCCAATAGAAGTAGAGACAAGCACATTGAATTCACCAGCTTTGAACTTTTTGATGATCTATTTCGACAATTCTATAAGCGCATATCCAGGAACGGAGCTCTAGACCCACCTCAAGCTGCTCCTTCTGCGCAAACCCCTTCCGGCCTTGTTTATCTGTGCCCTGCCCGATGAACCTCGTCACCTTCAGGAGGGGTTTCTCCTCATTGAGGATATGTACAATCTCATCCACACACTCCCGGTATGTCACAAACACCATAGCTCTCGTCTCCTCCCCCTCACCCATCCGTGCCCCGAAGTGCTGCAACAGCAGCATCTTAAGCGTCTCCATCTTCGGATGCATGCCGTACCCGCCCGGACGGACTTTCTGCACTTCGAGCTCACTAAGAAGAGCCATAAAATTCTTGTCCTTGCGCAAGCCACTCGTTGCTGAACCTTTCTTTTTCCCTGAATCGTCCTCTTTTTCAGCTGAAATCTCCAGCAGGCAGTTGTGACACATGCCGGTACTAGCTTCCATCTAGCCGTGCACACGACTTGTTAGGTAAGATCAGACTTACGTCGTAGGGAATACTCACCAGGTACCCCATAGCACGCGCTAATGCGCCAAGCTTAGACAGCGAGGGAAATGCCCATTTGTGAGGACTGTTCCGCTGGGCTCCAATTTGTTGCATGGTAGCCTGGGCACGATAAGGGTGCATCTTGACTGGATCCACCACTTCTATAACTCCTCTGTTAGAGAGTGGTTTAAGGATGGTCTATCAATAGGCCCTCGTCAAATAAGAGTGACTAAAAGGAAGGATCACTGACCACCATCACCTCCTTCAGGAGTTCCTGAACTTTGAGAACATCGTCAGTCATCCGGATGATGTGTTGTTTAATTTCCTAGATACAAGTCGATGTCCTCGCGTCAGACGTGTAACTCGAAGCTCGCGTTTGACCTGACCTTTTTGTGCATATACTCACGGAGATCAATACTATTTTCATCACGAATCTCAATGCGACTAATGTGCAGTGAATCAACAATGCTCTGAATAGCTTCAGGTGTACTTCCGGGCGTTGCTGTTAATGCCAGTACGCGATGATGGGGATTCTTAGCCATCAAGAAACGAATGACCTGTGCATAGGCATAGTCTCCTGTTCCCTTATGCGCCTCGTCTGCACATTTCCCTTAGCAAGCCAACATAATTAACTGCAGATAACGGACCAATGACAATGAGGACGATATCCCGCGCATCGCAGTTTTCGGTACTCAGATCATTGATGAGGGTCTGTGGTGTCATGTAAAATATCCGTTTCTCCTCCCACTACAGAAATCCGAGTCAGCTTAAACATCGACCGAGTAGAACTAATACAAACCATCCTACACCTATAAGCTCGAGGGTTGTTTCCGGTAAGCTCGACTGCGTCGCTACCAGGAATGCCGCACGTGCGGTGGCACGCGTCAATTTGTTGCGCGACGAGAGGTTTTGTTGGGGCAACAAACACAACTTTTCCTTTCGGAAACCAACGATAGTCTGAGAGACGTTAGATTTTGATTGACAAGATCCGCAAGAAATTCACAGTTAAGCATCACGACGCCTGCAATGAATGTTTTTCCCAATCCGGTAGGTAATGCGACGAGGGTGTTGTCAAATAAGCAGTGCCTAACGATGTTGAACTGATAGTCACGCTTTGGTTGGTTTAGGGGATATATCCAATGTTTAGCTTCAAGCATGTCAACCTTGAGTTTCATAAGAGGCGGCTGTAGGAACGTCAGTAAATAGGGTACATGCCGTGGCAAAATACACACAGGTCTGAGGAAATAACGAAGCATTTGCGCGATGTAAGAATTGTATGACAATGTTCAAGGAACATGCTTACCCAACTAATGACGCGTAGAGTCAGTGCCGTTCCATAAGTTGTAACAAACCAAAAGACCCCAGACATACCTGACACGAATGGAGCAGGGAACTGCTCAAACTCGACGTGCTCCTCCTCATCGTCTCCGTCATCTTTTCCCTTGCCTTTCACAGTCTTTGGCTTTTTCCAGCCCGACTTTGCAAACACAGTATGGTCCCACTGTTTCGTCCGAGGCGCCTGTTGGCCAAAAGGTTTGCGGGGACTCGACTTTGTCCGCTGAAGCGAGGAGCGTTTAGTGGGACTTTGCCTACTGGAAGACACAGTCGGTTGCGCAATATCTCCGAACAGGGTTCGTTGCACAGTATTCTTGGAAGGAGGTCGTGCATGATTGCTTGGGCCTGCCACTGGTTGTGCATTTCCCTTATACACCGCATCAATGAACGTATCTATGCGCTGAAGCTCCGCATCATCTATTTCGAGAGAAAGATCGAGAAACGAATCCTCTTCGTCCAGAGGTTTGGGTGCCTTGGCTGCGGGCGGGGGTGGCTTAGGAGGGTTTCGGAGTGGAGGACGATGAGCTGCCTCGATGACGTCCAGTTCGTTCAGAATGGCTGAGTCAAGTTCATCGTCAAATCCATAATCGGACGAGCTCATTGCAAGAATGGGAGGAAGAGGAAGAAACGAACGACCACCAAAGCTCAAGGAAGGTCGAACGCGTGACAGTTTATTCCAAGAACCTACGCGACGGTCACATGACCCAGCGAATCATGATAAATACATGCAAGTAGAAACCTTTGTAACAAGCACCTTTGTGATGGTATCACAACATTGTAGTGAGAAAACAAGTACATTGCATTCTATGTTCAAATCGAAAAATTCGGCTCTGAGGACAATCTGTGGTGATGAATTGACCAGTATTCATTACTCGTTTTTGACGCGTCCTCGTCACCCACCAGCGAGTACTAGTGAGCGATGAACACATTATATACGATGGCAATCACCTTAGCGATGTCATGAGTGAAATAACGGTACTACATTCTGAATTCAGCGACCTAGACAAGAAAGCACGTGCCACCTAGTAGCATTCCATCGACTAATATATAAAGCTTGATTGAAAGGTATATGATCCGCAGCGCATAGTAGCCAGCTTGATTATGATTGACTCATTACTGTTTTGTAGATTAGCCTGGGTATATAAATTTTCGGAGATCATGCAGGTCGAGCGTTCAGATACTCACAACCTCCAGATCCCATTCTTTTTTGTGTATATTTCATCTTCCTTCTAACTTCAAGTTTTTCTTTTCGAGTGATCTTCAAAATCATGTATATATACTTCGATGTCGGCTAAACGCGTTAGTTTGATTTTACTTTCATTCGAAATGTACGTAAGTCGAATCACACGAGGCCTGAGTCTTTTATCGACAATACAATAATTTATTCAAGAGCCTGATCGAGGCAGCAGGAAAGTTTGTACAGGAGTAAGCATATTGATCAACTCCGCAACGAACTGCATGTCGTACGATCAACCACTGTACCAACGCGAAAGAAACACGACTCACGGTCGCCATGCTTAGTCCATTGGAAGAGGGTTAATGGCAGTACGTGATCGTGCCATAATCCTATTGGTACAAGGCGCAAAGGTGAGTCGCGGGGTAGATGCAAAGCAAACGACTCATACTCACACCCGTCGAACAAGTAAGGCCTGGACAGCATGTGTCGCCGGACACGCCGCTCGAGCCACAAAGCCCGTTCAAATCTTCACATGCGCTGACAGACATAGATGATGTCAAAGCCGCAACGACTGCGAGGAGAAATGAGAAACGCATAGCTCGTGCTAGGTTAGGTATATGGGATGTGTCAATAGGAACAGTAGCTCTGGTTCTGCCAGTGACAATCAGTATCAGGAGGACCTGCTTTTATAACTTAGTAGAAAGTGTTTTTGGAAAGTACTCGGCACTTGTATCAAAATGATTCAAGCGCTTGCCAGCAGACTTCATGAGGATTTCAGGTTGAAAGTATAGGCAGATTTGAAGGTTGGCGGATAAGACAATCCAGACTCCAGAGCATGTGAACTGGAATTGGAGTATGAACTTAACACAAACGCCACGGTACTGGGCTACGTAGCGGGTTGGAGACGCACCTTATAGTAGGCAAAGTCCAAAATAGTGTCAAACTTGGTCACGGTCAACGTGTAAATTACAATTGAATGCATGTAGGCACACAAGCCACAGATGGAATCCGAGTCCTGCTAGCGCTTTAGTGGCATCTGGTCCAGGAAAGTCTTGCATACCGATACAGAGGTCACCGTACGGCCAAACAACGTGGGCCCTCCATGAAACAAGTAAGCATTCGCTACTACTGACACAGATAACGTAGATGCCAAGAACCTCACGTGTGGACCAGACCTGTCACTGGAATCACACGATCATCATTATACGCAGCTGTGGAGTGATATCAATATTTGCCCCAACCACGATAGGCTGAACTTTGAGTGCTGAATCCGACCGTACGCATCGTGGTGGAGACTAAAGAGTGGCACCTACTACTTGATGGATGTCCCACTGCGCTGGTAGTCACATCTTGAATTAGAGAGTAAAGAGAATAGAGGTCAGAAACGCACTTTCCGAAAGACGGGCTGATCCAAAGGGAGGTACTCATTCTGGCGAGCCTGTGAGCTTACAGTTGCAAATTTGTCAAGGCAGTTGTAGCGTGGTGGGCCCTGTGGACTACTAGCGTGGTGTTGCAGATTAAGTATCATTGTCCTCCCAATAGTCGATCGGATCGGGGTTTCAAATTACGATTTTAAGATGCAAGTACTACTAATTGGTTGCCTTTGCATGAGGATACCTTGAGGTCTTCTATTGATCAATTGACCGCACGCACTATTACCTACTATTACTGTGCGGTGTTAGATCAGTCTAGGTTGTAAGGGACCAGATGAAAATGCCGCGGTCGCGAAGTGGTATCACAAATCTCATCCTCTACTGTTCATAAACAAATAATAATCACTGCAGGTTTAATCTCTATGGACCTAGCTTGTGCTATACTACCTGACCGAGCTACCGTGACTGCGTCTCGCGTGAATATTCGTGCACCCGGACCAAACCCGGGACCCCAGCTGAAGTTCACCCTCTACCTCCCATGATCTCGGGGACAATATCAGATCTCATAGAGTTACAACCCCTGGCGAGCTTAGGTTTAGGCAAGTGATTTCAGGGACTTGTGCGTGCTCGCTACGATATCAGCGCTTTCTTTTATTTTTGTCGTTTTATGTCCTTCCATTGTGCTTTCGTTATGTTTCGTTGCAAAGGGTTTGATCTGCAACAGATCATAGATAGATTGTTCAATGCATGTTTACAACTAGACATGGAATTTGAATGCATACCTGTCTCAAACTTAATACTGTCGTGTACATGAGGCTCATAAAGCCACCTTTCCCGCAGTCGTAAGATGAGGAGATCACAAGATTCGTGAACTCACTTCGATGTATATGAAGCAATATCATCAAGATGACCGCGACAATAAATGGCGCAGCAGACACAAAGATAGACTACAATACACAATACTTCATTAGCATTACAAACACGTGAGACGCGATCACAAGTACCCCTTTGCCGTGGCTGCTGATGTGCTACCACCGACCGGTGTTGTGGAAATCTTGATAAGAAAGCGCTTCACCTGTACCACGGTGAGGTGATGGGAAGACCTCATATAACATTCCATACATCTAAAGAAGAAGAATCAGTGCATGATACTCAACTCAATAAATCACCGCACCGCATTAACCTGTATGTATTTGGTCAGCATGTGCGTTTTGTGAGTTCAGAATCAAGTATGCATTGTGTAAGACTGGAAGCATGTTCAGGAATATACGAGCACCGCAAATGCCGTTCTTTTCGTTTTGAACAAGAAGAGAAAGAGTCTAGTCATCATGGTCGACACAGCCAACGCAAGTTTCCGCCTCCCTATGCGCTACCGACCAGTGCCACGGTGTAACTGACAACCGCACGGACCCGGAGATTCCAAGGACGGATCCGATCGTGAAATTGCGATATGTCTTGCTCGCGCTTGACTAACCGGATGCTGCACCTGTGCTGAAAGATAAAGGGCTGCGAGGAGTGGGTGTGCAATGCCAATTAAACTGAACATCCACAAGTCAACAAGCGCATCCTCTTGGGTGTAGAGAAGGGTCGCGTTAATTGCCAGGCGCATGCTGGAGAAGAGCGGACAGCCTATGCATACCACAAGGGAACAAAATTTGATGCACCTTCTGCTGCCAGTCCAAAAAGGCCATTGAGGAAAGTTTAGCCACCTATCAAAACACTTCCGTGCAGCTTTCAGTATAGATTGAAAGACAATCTTCTTCCGTGGCCATAATCATCCATATCGTGGCAACCGGGCGGGTGCTGCGATATAGGATGGCGTACTCGCCTCGGGCCGGACTAAACTCCTGGGCAATAAAAATTGACAAACCGTACATCCAGAAATCAAGCCACCGATCAGATGAAATCATACGAAAATGCTTATCTCACCATCTACAAGCCAGGCCGGTAATCACAAAGAGCTGCCATCGATAGCGACCAAAGCGAAATGCTGCTCAGCGAGATAAACTTGAGATATATACCACAGGATCACAATCGTGCTCCATGCAGTCTTCTTGAAAATAACTATTTAACTGATTAAATGAGCAAAAGTCGCCAACTAGCCCATGAGAAAATGCTCCTTGCTTACTGAAATAACACTTGAGCTTGTAGTCCCTCCTGACGGCATCAGCACGACTGGCTTGAGACAAGATATCTGCATCATTGCTGAGAACGACTTGCTTCTTTTCTGTTGCATCGTCAGATTCCTCGTGAGCGGCGTATCAAAGGTGAAGAGACTCGGACTAGAGAAACTAAGGGCGAGAACAGAACTCAGTCTTGGTTCAAAAAGACTAAAGGGTAACTATGGACCATACCTAAGGGCGAGAACAGAACTAGTAGAGTAGTAGTTAGTAAGAGTAGAGTAGGGATGTCAATAAGATAGCTCACCTCAGTCTTGGTTCAAAAAGACTGAGGGAGATTGTTCGACGAGAGGAGGAATTAATACGTTTGATTGGGACGGAGAGTCAATAGGAAACGTGTATGACGCATGGTAGGAGGAGTGTTCGTGTATGTAAAATGAAAAGGCTAAGTACGTGTAAGGGTCATATCTTGATACTCCCACTCGAACGCAAAACGCTAGAGACGCGGGCGTGCTCATTCAACTGGGTCTTCGTTTGACGATGAACGAAGAGCAAGCGAGTGTCGATGGTTGCGGAAAAGTTTTCGTGGTAGGGATTTCGTGAAGATGTCGGCAATCATATCATGTGTGGGTACATAGGGAATGATGATGGTGCCGTCGCTGACCAGATCTCGAACGAAGTGATAGCGGACGCGAATGTGCTTGGCCCGGTCGTGGAATTGAGGGTTTTTCGTTAGTGCGCGACTTCCATTGTTATCACCATATAACGTGGTGGGGGTGATCAGCGAGAGGTCAAGACCAAAATCGCATAGCAGCTGGCTGAGATGGATCTGTTCGCGGGCCGCGTTAGAGAGTGAGATGTATTCAGCTTCAGTAGACGAAGTCGCAACGACGGATTGCTTTTGGGAACGCCAACTGATGGGGGAACCGAAAAGAAAGTAGACATAGCCCCCAATTGAGCGACTGTCGTCTTTATCAGACGCGAAGTCAGAATCCGAATAACCGATGAGTCCTTGGTTGGACAAACCAAACGTTAGGGAATGATGTGTGGATCCACGAAGGTAACGAAGGAGATGGTGAAGCTGGCGGTAGTGGTCTATGCCAGGGTTACTCAGATATTTTGACAGCGCCGATACTGCATATGCAATATCGGGACGACTAACGCGCATGGCGAAGTTGAGTTCCCCAACGACACGCGCGTATGGCATGTGCGCAAATTGTTGGATTTCGGCTTGAGTGAGGGGTGCAGATGACTTCGTCAAGGAGATCCCTGGAACCATGGGGGTAGATACTGGTCGACAATCTGACATCCGAGTTTCACTGAGAATCTGTTCGAGAAAGGAGGATTGGTTGACGGTAAGGTGCTTCTTAGAGCGATCTCGTGTAATGTGCATTCCTAAGAAATGACGCGCTTCACCAAGGTCCTTCATTTCAAAACGTTTGCTCATCTCCGATTTGAAACCATTAAGGAAATCCCGACAGTTCGATGCGAGCAACATGTCATCGACGTAAACAAGGAGCCAGATGGTCTTGTCATCTTTTCGTAAAACATACAGACTATAGTCTGCTTCGCTACGAACAAAATTAAAACCTTCTTTTCGCAGGAAATCATCGAGTGTCTTGTTCCATTGACGACCGGCTTGCTTGAGTCCGTAGATGGCCTTGAGGAGTTTCCAGACCCAATCTGGATGCTCAGGGTCTTCGAAGCCTGGAGGTTGACGCATGTAGATTTCTTCGTCAAGCTCGCCATTGAGAAAGGCGGTCTTCACGTCCATTTGATCAAGTTCAAGATCAAACTTAGCGACCATGGAGAGTAGTGCACGTACGGTGTCGTATTTTGCAACAGGAGCAAAGGTGTCGGTGTAATCTAGTCCTTCGATCTGTGTGAAACCCTGCGCAACAAGGCGGGCCTTGTGGCGGGCAATCTGGCCATTTTCGTCATACTTGTGCGAGTACACCCACCGTGAGCCGACTGCTTTTCTCCCTGATGGGAGTGGTGTTAAGACACCCACTCCTTTTTCTCCCAACGAAGCTAACTCTTCATTCATTGCGCTTTCCCAATGACCCGAATCCATTGACAAGCGAGCGGCAGCTATCGTTTTGGGGGGAAGCTTCCGTCCATCAATCTTGTTGCTGTCCGCCAAGGATACATGCTTCGCGGAGTGCTCAATGGTGACATCGGGGGTAGCACTAATACTAAGATTTTCTTCTTCAACAACCTCCTCCTCAACAGTGACCGGTACATAAGTCCAACGCCGCTGTACTGGGACATGTTTTGTTGGGATGGCAACAGTTTTTGGGACTGCTGGTCGCGCGTCAATGCGTTGACGTGTCGAACGTCGTGGCTCAGGAGATGGTACCGTTTCTACCGGAACTTCAGCAGGGACAGGGAGAACATTGTCGTTCGACTGCGGGAATGGCTGTGGAGGTTCGGGGATGAGAGGAGCAGAAGTCGGAAGTACTCCCACTGAAACGGTACTGGGTCCTGGTAGTGTAATACCGGAATCATCTTCTCCAGGTCGTGTGGTTCTGAAGCCGTCTTCTGATATCGGCAAATCATGTGGCAATGCGAGGGTGGGCTGCTGCATTGCAATGCGCTGGTTGTGTAATTCAACGAGGGGCGAGAGAACTGAGTTGGGTGTGCCGTAGAAGAATTTTTCATCAAAAAGGACATTTCGAGAGCGCACCGTCTGTCGTGTCGCTGGATCCCATAGAAGATATCCCGCATCTTTGACGTGCCCCAGTAGGAAGCACCGTCTCGAAACAAAGTCGTACTTGTGGCGATTGTCGTCTGGGATGTGAGCATATGCGAGGCAGCCAAACGGACGTAGGTGCGAGACATTTGGTAGTTCACCATAGAAGAGTTCAAACGGCGTTCTGTTGTCAGTAGCTGACGACGGGAGGAAGTTCTTGATGTATACTGAGTTGAGGATGGCGTGGCCCCAGAACGAACGAGGAAAACCACTCTGGTGATGGGCACTTAATGCTCGGGTGGCAATGGTCTGGTGTCCACGTTCGGCAACACCATTCTGTTCGGCTGTATGAGGCATCGTAAGTTCGTGCTCAATTCCTTTACTACGCAGGAATTCAATAGTAGCGTGAGAGACGTATTCGCCACCGTTGTCACTGCGGAGGCGTTTAACTCGTTGCCCTGACTGGTTTTCAATCCAGGCGATATATCGCAGAAGGTGCGAGTGTACCTCACTCTTGTGCTTAATGAGGTAGATAGTGGAATAACGCGAAAAATCATCAGTGAAGGCAACAAAGTATGTTTCGCCGGACGGGGTTGCAGTGTTGACGGGTCCCCAAACGTCAGTGTGAACAAGTTCAGCGACGTGCGTTGCACGGTGTCGAGCATGAGACGGGAACGGCAATCGTTTTTGTTTGCCCATTAGGCACGACGGACAGTCAATGTGGTCACCAGGTCCTGTAGACTCGTCTAACAGGTTAAGTGACAGTCCTAATACAACCTTCTCAGCTTTGCGCAAGGTGGAGTTTGCGGCATGGCCCATGCGTGCATGCCATACAGCTAGTGGTAATGGCGTAGCCGAGGTGGACCTGGTGGCAAAGGCCGTATGGGTGTGCTTGGCTCGAAGGTAGTATAGACCGGCAGAGCATTCCACACGTGCGATCACAGTCTTATCAGCACGACGCATTTGTCCTCCTTCAGCATCCGTTTCGAAGAAAATTCCCTCCGACGCTAGAGCAGACACTGATATCAGTGTGCACCGTAGGTCTGGTACGTGGAGGAAAGGGAGTTCGATAGACTCATGTCTTCCGTCGAGCACTAGCGTGATGAATCCCCAACCTGGGGCAAGAACAGTATCGTCATTCGCAAGTTTCACGATTAATGGAGGGTTGTAAGTTCTGTAGCGAGTGAAGAGGGAGTGATTGGATTCCATATGTGCGGTGGCGGCAGAGTCTACGTGGAATTGAAAAGAAATAGTGCTCGTATTAGAGAAACTAGCAGAGTGTGTAGGAAGACGAAGAAACGATGGAATGCCGTCAGGTTGTCCTGGTAGGGGAACTGATATGTCAGTACCTTGTGAAGGTGAGGGGGGAATGCACGCTGACGTGTTTGATGAGTCGGATTTTGCTAGATGAGCACGGCAGTTGTTCCAGATATGGCCTGTGCGCTTGCAAGATCCGCACGTCGAGCGCCACGACAACTCCCATTTATCTCCCTTGGAGGCGTCAAAATCCTTCGGTTTGGCACGCTCAGTAGGTTTACCTGCTTTCGCCACCCTAGCAGCCATGGCTGTGTGGTGCGCATGTGGGTTTGCAGAGCCGAAACTTGCATAATATTGTTCCGAGTTCCTGATCTGGCTGATGACTCCTTCCAGCGT